GTCTCCACCTCCTACACCGTGACAAGTTTTGTTTTAAAACGAGGTGGTGTGGATGCAAGTTTTTGGAGGGGCGGATATTAGTTTTTTAAAAAAAACCTGCTACATGTAGACTAGGCCTCAGTTTGGAGTTCAGGAGATTGTCTTGACCAGGACCACACCCCTAAATGCATTGACGCAACTGCCATGTGATTGGTTAATTAGAAAATTGCATTAAGGAGAAGTTGAACAGGTGTTCCCAATAATCCTTTAGGTGAGTGTGGAGTTATAATGTTTTCCTCATGTGCAGGTTTTCGTTCATATCAGGTTAACTGGAGACCCTAAATTGCCCCTAGGTATGAGTGATGGGTTATTTGTCTCTGTATGTCCCTGTGACGGACTGGACACCTGTCCAAGGTGTTAACCGGCCTCTTCCCTGAGGAGTCGAGGTGTAAATGAAATGTTTGAGTTTTTATCATTGACTCATTAGGATGGCAGAAGTGATGAAAGGAGCTGGTTTTGAATACACGCCTTCAGCCCAACTCAGACTCCCTCCCCCGCCCTCTCCGCATGCTGACATATGTATTTATCTAGCAACTGTGCAGCACTTATCACACAGCTTAGACGTAATTAGTTCAACTTAGTCCAGGGCACAGTGCCTGTTAGTGGGCATATGTTCAGATCTGGTTAAAGACACACTGCCCCCTGAGGGGATCGGTGCATGTTGACAAGTGAGCCTCTGTTGTGCATGTGTGTGGATGTGAGCCTGCAAAGCACACTGTGAAGTGTAGCCAGAGCTTTCATTAAAACAACCCACAGCAGGCAGCTCTTTTACCTAAGCTGCCCTCTCATGCTGAGAGGAGACACTTAAAACCTAGAAGACAGCATGATCCCCCTAGTGTACGAAGAGGGGAGTGATGGATTGGCAAGAACCTAATTAGGATGGGAGAAATGATTAGAGATAATGAGAGAGGGATAAAACAAAAGATGGAGAAGCAGTCTGACTCGAGTCCAACTATCACAGCTGTGTGCTGGCTGTCTGGACATCACCACGTCCAAGAGTCTTCATCTGTGTGAGTGTAGGTGCACAACGGAGTACAGGGCAGGAACCACCTTGGCATTGCACATTTGCAACAGATAAAACCTACCTACCTGGTTACTCCACATACGTATTTCAGGAGCATTTTTTAACTCAGAAGTACCCCTGAAGGACTTAGTTGTTCGTCCTTTTATCAAAACTTATTTTGAGCCTGAGAGGGTTAAACTCTCTCAGCAAGTCCAACAGCTGTCCTCACTTCCTTTATAAATAAGGGCTTAATACAAAGTCTCCATATAAGAATGAATGCCTTATAAGTCGTACTCTGGGGAAAAAAAAGCTCTGCATCTGTTTCAGCATGGAGAATTCAGCCTGAGGAGAAGAGGTCAAGATTCTCTCATTTCCTGATATTTATACATCTCTCCTCTGATTGGCTAACGGCGATGCAACTCTACCACTGACTCCGTTTGCACTGCAACTTTGATGCTCTATCTCCACAATTAACAAAAGCCTGGAGGAGTTCTGCTGTTTGGTGGAGTTGCTAATGCTAACAGTTAGCTTCTACTAGCCAAGACATTATCTGCTGTTACCTGGACGTGGGGCTGGACAATAAATAGAAAATGTATCATTATCGAAATTTCTGACTCAAACTGAGATGTGTGTGGGTTGGCAACATTCCTGTCCCTTTAAGAAGCTGTACCACCTAGAGTCACATGACAACGTGACTCAACATAATACACGTGACAGCCCCATCTAGTGGACAACTTTTGTTTTCTCGTCCGTTTAGCGTTATCGAGGTGAGCTACTCAATATTCTGCGATATTGGTTTCCGGACGTATCACCCAGCCCTACCCAGTGTTTCCCCTAGGAATTTTTCCAGCTGTGGCAGTGGGGCCCGCCGGTGGGTGTGTGTGTGTGTGGGGGTGGGGGGGGGGGGGTGATTATGACACGTCTCTAAATAAAGTAAAATGTTCTAGTGCAGAGTGGAGACAACCCATAGAAGCACTGATTTGATCTCATTTCAGGGAAAAATAGAACAGGTTAGATGCACCTAATAAATAAAATTACTAACAAACTCAGGAATCTGTTTCTTTGCTTCATTGTTCTGGTGCTGAAAATATCACTAATGCGGATCAAAGGAGATACAGATGAATGCACCTCTTATTTATTATTTGGAAACTACATTTACTGCAGCTGGCAAAGGCAGAGATTTTTTCTATTGATACACGGATTTACAGAGTCATTTTAAATTTTAATAGGGGAAGACTGCAGGAGGGAGCGGTAAAATACAGGGGGTCCCCAGCAAAAACAAGAAACTACGAGTCTGATGAAACCCTCTGGTTTTCCATCAGGCAGTCACGGGGCAGCTCCAACGACCCAGTGGCTGTGCTGGGTCAATGTTATCGAGCTCAGTCCGGCTCGGCCGTGAACGAGCCGAGGCGACGTCGTGCTCTGCTTAAGAAGAGGTGTTATTTTCCCGCTTCAGAAGAAGCGTCCAACGTGTTTTTATACCTTCTCCGAGACATGTCACGTCGCTAAGTTGTCAATAGTGCAACGTAGCCTGCTGGAGGTTTTAAGGGTTCAGATGAAAACACCCGACCTCTCAGGCTGCTCACACATCAATCTTAAGTTGTCGCTGTTGCGCTCACGCCGTAATACAGTATTAGATGCGGTTAAAGTCAGACATGAAAAAATAAATAAATTTTACTTGAATAAGTGATGCTTAGCCTGGTGGGGGGAGGAAACCCTGTCAAGATCGTCAACACTTGTTTATCTTAATGCTACTGAAACATTTATACCAAAAAGCATTATATCCACTGCTACCTTTCTAATTTTAAACTCAGTAACTTATGCTGTAACTTCACCTTGCCCTGCCTGCTCCTCCTTGCTGCCCGCCGGCTGTGATCACAAGCGACAACATAGTAGTTCCCGCTGCTTCTTCGGGAAACAGCGCCAACAAAAAAAAAAAAGCTTGGGATCTTGTAGGCGTGGCGGTGGGATTTCAGCCATGGCGGGCCGCCACGGCTACGCCTATGTAAGGGAAATCCTGCTACCTACACGCTAAACCATCAGACTTCCCCGTCATGAGTTATGACGGGGAAGTCATAACTAAGTGTCATAATTAAGTGACAGTGTGACGTAGATTAGGACCAACTCAGTAGCCTGGTGGTATGAGTGTCTGCCCTGGGACTAGGAGATAACAATTTTTAGATTTTTAAGATTGAATTGAACAATTTTTTAAACTTTTAAATAAAGACAATGTCCAGAATGACTCAGAGATCTTGAAGTTTACTGAAAAAAAGCTTAGAACAAGAACATTGAGTCTCCTGTGTCATCTCAAATGTGGACAGAATAATTAGGCCAAGAATCAGTTAACCTTCTCAGGCTCAAAATAAGTTTTGATAAAAGGGCGAACAACTAAGTCATTCAGGGGTACTTCTGAGTTAAAAAATACTCATGAAATGCGTATGTGGAGTAACCAGGTAGGTAGGTTTTAACGCTGCAAATGTGCAACGCCTGCCTCCAGAGAGTTAATGCATAATTTATATAAAGTGTAAACAAAAGTAGTCCAAGACAAACACCCATGACTTAGCCCAGTCCTACATATGTGCTACAAGAGCTACAAGGTCATTAGGACAGCTTTGTCTGGCGCAACCTGGTTAGTGTCGTCTGCCAAGCTCTTTAGACAACTTCCAGGGTTCTGGAAAATGTTCTATGATTGATTGATTGATTGATTGATTGATTCTGTTAGGACCCCCACATGATCATCAAGTTGAGGTTTGACCCCACCAACACAAACATGTTGTATTGTGTTTGTTACATTTGCTGATTTAGATAACAGAACATGAAAATCCAGAACCACCACAGCCACACTTATCAAGTACAGATTTCAGTTTTTCATTGCAACACCGTTTGCTGCCTGAGTAGAAGGTTGATGGTGAAAGCCCAACTGCAGAAATCTGACTTTAATGATGCAGCATCTATGCATCTGATACAGGAAATCAACTTTTCATAAAGCTTCGTCAGCTCACGATCACCATCATGATCATGTTGTAAGGATGAGGCTACAACAGCCAGATCCGTTAAGAGAGCTGGCGTTAGCTGGGTCCTGCTCAGAGAGACATCAGCCCAGTACCTCAGTCAAACACACCTAACTGCTGCTGGAGCAGCTGGAAGTTCTGGAACACATCAGATGGATAAAAGCTCCTGAGTCAGAGGAGAAGTCTCAGCTCCCAGCCTCCGTGTGGAGGTCCGGTCAGCTGCTGGGTCTTCTACCCTCTGATGGTGAAGACTAGAGCAGCTAGGGTGTCGTGTCAATGACACGACACTCCCTCTGGCGGACGAACCCGGGAACTACTTCACTTTTTTCACTTTGGCAGGAACAGGTTAATCTAGTGACAGCATTTAAATGACAACTGCACCGACACCGGTCCGGTTTGGCCTCACATCTCACCAAACAGCCCGCAGCCCACCAGGGTCCCGTAGCGACCAGCTCCCTCTGCTGATCAGAGAGGATGAGGAGACACTCAGATGTTCCTCTATCCTCCCTGAGGAGTTAAAGTCCAGCAGAGCCGGAATTAAATCACACCTCCATTGTTCAGAGTCCAACATTCACCACTCGGCTCCTCTCAGCTGATGGACACACACACGCTTCACGTCCAAGACTGACATATAGAAAGCAGAATGCGCAGAAGGATGAAACTTGGTGGAGGAGAGGAGAGGATGCTTCGACTCACCTTGAGCGGCCGTTCCTCGGGTGCTGAATACACTTGCTATCAAAGTGGCCACATACCAAATCATAGTACTATAACCGACCAGAGTTAAAACACATCGTATCTCAAAGGGCCGCTTTCGGTGCTTCTCTCATCGCCGGGACTGACACACACGGACCGGGATCCTTGTCTTCCTGCAGCCGAGCCCCGAACACTTCAGCACCGGAGATCTCCCACTCTCCTCCCCTCTCCTCTCGCATCCTCAGATGGATCACCTGCGCCAATTGGACGAGAGCAGATGAGGCCGTGAAACCAAGCTCCAGCCTCCGGAGGCGCGTGGTCCTGCCCCAGCTCGGATTCCATTGACGCGCGCAGGAGGGCCGCGGCCGCTGATTGGTTACCAGCGCTGTCCCTTTCGCACGTGCTGAGGTGCGTTCCCGGGAAATATCAGCGCTCGGAAGTTCCGCCTCTCAGTTCTAACGCTCACCCTCGGAACCGGTCACGAAGTGGGGAAAACGGCTGGTACGTCACGCGATCCAGTTGTTTGTGTCATACATGATCAAGAAGCGCAGAAAGAAGACAATTAAAACAGAAATAAACTTTTCTTATATTTTTTTTCATCAGATTTATCCCTAAATAGATTAATACGTTATTTTGTCTTCCACAGACATCACAACCCACTCTGGTTTAGATGAAACACGAGTTCAAGTCTCTGCTACAATATAGTTTCACATTCAGAGTCTAAACCGGATCTGTGAGGAGGAACCTGAACGCAACACTGAGGAGGGTGCCTGCTTGCTTCAAGGTGGGTTGGAGTGTGGAGCTAGAGAGGAGCTGCAGTCTCATCCTGCGCAATAGGAGGAGAGGAGAGGACTCCTCCAGCGGGGACACGCCGGACCCTTCCATCCGTCTTCCTCCAGCAGCTGGAACCCTTCTCAGGTGTGCAGCAAGACCCGCAGCGGCCTGATCATGTTGTAATGATGCTGCAGGGACTCTGATGATGAACATCTTCACCTGCTTTGTGTTCAGATGTTAGAGCAGCTGCAATGGAACAGAAACTCTCCACTCTGTTTTATATTTAATGAAATGACTCGAGCAGGACCAGCCTATTGCTTTAACATGATTACAAGTTTTATGGATTAGAAATATGGAGGTTTTAATTATGATTCATGAAAACATTTTAGTAGAAGCTTAAGTAACAAACATGGCCTCTGAGTTTTTCCATCAGTGTTGGGTTGAATCATTTTTTAATTCAAATCAGAAAAGTAACTGAGAATGAATTAGACCTTTATTAATATAATAAATTATTAATTACATGACTGTTACTGGAAACCAACATTGGAAATCAGTTGGTTTATGCTACGTAATTTAATTCATTATTAAAATGTTGGTGAAAATTTTAAATGCTGCCATTTTAAAAAAGGAAACAAAAATGTTAAGCAAATAATTGAGGAGTACAAATTCTAAATTCTCTCTGTTTCTCTGTTAGTATTAGTAGGGATCATCCATTTGGTTTCTTTATCATTCCTCACTAGGATCTAGGTGAGAGCAGGGGGACACTTTGGACAGCACGATTTGCAGCTGAGACAGAAGCCAGAATCCAGTTAAGAGGTTTTCCATGAGGATATAACAACTAGAAATTTCATGGCGATAACATCAGAAATGACAAAATGGGAGGCAAACGAATGGCCTGACTTCGCCACACCATCACATCCCCGCCCTTTTTCCAAAGTTCCCATAAAGTGACGCCAAGCAACCCCAACTTGTCTTCAGTTACCTGCTACAAGTGTCACGCTGCGAGCGCAGGAGGATTGGACCCAAAGCACAGAACACCACACAACTCGAGGCTGGAGAGGTTGTATAAGTAAAGAATCCCTTTATTTGGATGATAAACTAAAAGGCAAAACTGCAGGACTCTAAGCCAAAATTCTAAAGTTCAAAAAGTCGAAAACAAAAGCTCACTCATGAGCCAGAATCTAGTCACTAGAGAGGGGAGGGGAGGGGAGGGGAGGGGAGGGGAGGGGAGGGAACGCTGACGAAAGACAATGAACCAACAAACACTAGAGACACAGACAGGGTTATATACATGGGGCTGGGAGAGACGAGGAGCAGGTGCGTGGGGAATTGGGCACAGGTGAAACTAATAAGTAAATGAATGATCTGAAGTGGGGAAGGGAACACACACACACACACACTAAAGGAGACTAAAGAACTGAGATCATAAACCTATAGAAAACTACAGTGGAGAGACCAAGAGAACATGAGGAAAACCTGGAGGGAGCTGGAAACAAAACGGGCTGGGGACTACAAGGACACAGAATGGGAGGGGACACTTGGAGGGGGCTGGGGACCAAAGGGACACAGAACAAGACAACAAGTTTGTGGTGATTATATGAAATGGCAAATTTTGGGGAATTTCCCAGTTAAACTTGACCTTTTTGTTTCTGAGGGGGCAGGGCTAGTATGACCTCATCAATCAGCCATTCATTTTTCTTCGGGGACCGATGACGAATGTCCGTAGAAATTTTAGTAACTGTAATTTTTTTCATTGATGAAATCATAGCCATTTATAATTTTTTTACGAGCGCTCGAACTTCAAGGCTTGGCCCTGCCCCTTCAGTAAATATGAAAAGTCAATTTAATTGTCTCATTTCAATTGTCCATCACTTCTGATCAATCGCACACTATTTTTAGATGATCGTGCGAAAAATGACCAAACTCTTCAATCAAATACAGACCCTACAAATGACGACAACGGGGTCAAAATCGCTACTTCAGTCCAAAATGGCTGACTTCCTGTTTGATGTTGACCATGGGTGCATGAGGCTTTTCTGTGCGTATTGGCAAGTTCTACAACCGTACTAAATTTCATCAGTCTACTATAAAAAAAAAAGTTCAAAGCGAAGGGGTATTTTTTATTCACCGGGGGGTGCTGTCGAGCCACTTTTTTTTTTGCAACTTTAAATGGGAAAAAAAACTGCAGGACCGAATTTGATTTTAATTTTTCATGTGTCGATTTAACGTGTACGGGTACCCGACAGAACGTGTCCATGTCGCTTCAGAAAAATGCTGCGTGAAATGTGAAATGCCATTTAGGTTTCTAGTTTAGTAGGCACAGATCCAATGCACTGCCCATTGTAGCAGTGGAAGAAGCCTTTTGCAGATGCAAAGTCATCAATGACATCATCTTATGCTGTGCAACTTCTGAGTTGAGTTTATAGCCAGGCCACTCAAGGGTTCTTGTGCAATTGAGGAACCTCAGTTTGAGAAGCTACTCAGCAGCAGTTTAGCATTGACCCAGCAGATGATTGTTTATTACGGAGACTCCCACATAAATCCTGTTTCCTGAGATCATTTCTTCACTTGATTCAATTCAATTCAATAATACTTTATTAATCCCAGAGGGAAATTAGAGTTTCAGTACACAATTCAGAGATCAGACATACATACATAGGCAAGACACATTGGTGACTGTGGTCATTCGCAACCCTGAATCGCGCTACCTTAATAGAGATCAGAGAGTTACATGAGGACTGGTTCAGGAGGAGGGGGAAAAAATGCACTTCAGAGTTACCCTCCACCGGGAGGGCAGCTTTGCTCTGCAAAAAAAAAAAAACAACTCAGACAGATATGCAACAGACTTCAGACATCACACAGCATAAGTGTCCACTAGGTGGGGTGGTGGGTTTGGGACTATCCACACTTCGGTTTCTGCAGCCACTGCAAGCAGCGCATGTCACCTCAGTCTGAACAGGGGGAGGAGCATTGAGGGTTGGAGGGTTGCAGTGACCCTGGAACGATTCGGCGGCCCTCCCGCAGTCCCGCCCAGGCTGGGATAGGAGACGGAGTTGAGTAGCCATAGCGACGGCACATTCCACACAGTAATCCAAACTTGTGCAGTAACTTCCACAGATGAACTATTTTGGCAAAACCATTTTCACAAAGAAGAAACTTACTTACAAAATGTGCAGTCCAAATTCACACAAAATGAAATTCCAGTGTAAATACCTCAGCTTCCTCTTTTTACTTACTTGTAACTGCAAGAAGTCTTCCTCTCTCACAGCCAAGACTTTCCTTGCATTTTGCTTCCAAACCATTCTACAAATTAGTTTTCAGTGTCACATGCAGCAGTCACATTTGTAAAAAATGTACTGATGTAGTTCAGCAATCCAAAAATGCACACATCATAAGGCAATCAATCCACCATCAATACAATTATTCACATCCTAATGCCCTTAATCCAGTGTGTTGAGTTTCATAAATCTGGTTACCTTTGGCATGTTTTTGCAACAGTCACTCTAGGAGATGGTCTTGCAGACGACGTGGAAGCTCCAGCAGCACTCTGTGGTCGGTGGAAGGAGAAGCGAGTGGGGTTGTAGGATGCAGGCATGCTTGATGACTCCTCCAATGTACTGAAGCGTCCGTCATTACCAGGAAAAATGGCTACATTGCTGTCATCAGTAATATGCAGACTGGTGCAATGAACCTTTGAAATAAGTAAACAGCTATTTAAAAATGTTCTCTGCACAGCAACATCAGTAAAACGCGTTTTAGAATAAAAGGCTACCTGGAAGATTCTGCTTATCTTTTCGGTCGTCATGTCTTCTTCCTTTAGAGTCAGCCGTTTTGTTCCTTTGAACAACACATAACTGTCCATGTTGGTTGGTTTAATTGACAGCTGGACGGTGAATCTGACGAGGACTGAAGCTAATGTTACATTTTCGAACATTAGCAAGAAAAAAAAACTTCCGGGTCACGTAACCCCGAATGACGAAATATTAAAATCAAATTGGGTCCATTGGCCGTTTTTCAATTTCTCATATTGGATCCGAGACTAAAATAGAAAATATGAAAAACACGACTTTTTTTCTTTTTTTAAATCCGTTTGTAAAACAAAAAACAAAAAAATCAAGTTTTCCTTTTTTGATTGTTTGTTTTCAATCGAAAATAGAAAGAACGAATGATACACGGATTATTAAAAGACCAATCAGATTGAGATTTCATATTTATATGGAATATCACATCTTATTGATCATTTAATATGTAGCCAATCCTTAACGCTACAATGCATAAGCACAAATCACAGTCAGGACCCGTCCCCCAACACGTAGGCAGAGGGAGGCTACCTGCTCATTTACTGGGGTAAACCCCAACATACAGACACCAAGATGGGCAAAACGTATGCCCACCCCTGCTCTGTGCTTCTCATTGGGAGCAACTCCAGAGTGGTAGAAACCCCTCTCAATGAAACTGGTTCTGGAGCCAAAGCGGTGCATTGAGGTGAGTCCGATTATATCTAGCCAAAACCTCTCAACCTCACACATGAACTCCGGCTCTTTCCCAACCAGAGTTACATTCCGCGTACCAAGAGCCAAAGATCTGACAGCCAAGGTTCCGGCCTTTGGCTACCACCCAAAACACAATGCACCTGATGGCCCTCCCACAAGTGGTGAGCTCCTGGAAAGGGGGACCCATGTGTCCTCTTCGGGCTATAACCGGCCGGACTCCTTGGGTAAAAGCCCGGCCACCATGCGCTTGCCACATTTGTCTGATCCCTCACCTAGGACCTGTTTGCCTTTGGTGACCCTACCCGAGGCATAACGCCTCAGACAACTTAGTTCCTAGGATCATTGGGACACTCAAAAACCTCCACCACAGTAAGGTGGCAGCTTAGGGAAGGGAAAACCCCTAATCCCATTAATCCTAAAGTTGAGTTAGTCAAAATGACTATGACACTGAAATCTGAACAAGAACTATTGATGTGTCTTATTTTATTCTTGTCTTGTTTATATTTGTCATTTTAAGTGACACAAAAGAATGAAGACAAGTGGCATTATTTCTTAAATTAGAGCTTTGCTGTCCTTGCCTCCTGCTTTTGTCTGGAAGTGGATCCAGTTTCTAACAATCACATCATCTGTATATTGTAGAAGAAATGTAAATTGGCTTCCAAAAACACTTGTGACATTTAAAAGTTTCAGTAAAGCAGTATTCTTCTTCTTCTTTTGTATTATTCTTATTATAATTGTTGGTATTAGTATCACTCACTCACTCATTCATTCACTCACTCACTCACTCACTCACTCACTCACTCACTCACTCACTCACTCACTCATCTTCCTAACCACATAACTCAGAAAGGTCTTGCATTTTTATAATACTTTTTATTCACAACCATATGAAAACAAATGAGAACCACATTTGCATTAGTGGTAATTAGTGGTTTACTTATTGGTTTTATTAGTGAGTTCGTTAGTGGTTTTACGTTTGCTGGGATAACAGGGGAAGTCTACGTGTTTTGTTAGTGGTTATTAGGTTGTACATGGATTAATGCACACGGTGTATCAGTGATCTCCATTAAAACACTAAATTATTGACAAAATTGGATTAATCATAATAACTCGATTTCTTCCCACACTTCTTTGGCTCTCTGAGCCATTTGCCACACACAATATGGCGGGCACGCTGACGTAACGGGAAAACCGCACAGAATCTGTATCCGGAAGGAAGTTGGTCCTAGACCGAATCGGTACCGGTGCACAGGGGCTCATCAGCAGCACGTTTCCCATTTTAAAACGTGGTTCTGTCGCACTGACATCAGTCATCATTTCCCCCTTCAGACTCGGGTGTGTTTTTGCTGCTAGGCTGTCCAGGAGAAGCAGCATGTCCACCGACTCTTTGACCCGGAGGATGGTGTGGGTGGACCTGGAGGCAAGTACCTTCTGTAACTGATGGTGCATGTGATGAGTTGTGTTTGTTCCTTCAGCAAAAGTCTCACCGTGCGGAAGTCCGTAAAATAAAGCGAACCAACTAACTACATGTTTATTCCGACGGGACCCACCGGGTCAGAGAATTTCCTACGTCACTTTACAGGTTTTAGGTGAAGTAGCAAAACCTCAGCACGACCCTAGCTAAACGTAAATGTGTTTTCCTTTTTCCAAAGCAGCTTCATTACAATTATCGTCAGTGCAATCAACTAGACCGCGGAAAGGAACCGGAAGTCCCTGTTGCGCCTCAATGTGTCCCCATGAAAACGGTTCCCCCTCCTCTGGGGTGTTCTGCTCAAATGTGTAAAAATGAAGAATAACTCATTATATCAAAAAAATGTTAATTAGTTAAAGATTTCAGTATATGTGGTGTTAAAGCCCTGGACTTTGACTCTTTAGTAGGAACTTTCAAAGCTATTTGGCTCAAATGGGGCTGGGGCTGTTTTGCTGGATCCAGGGTTGGTGACTTGTACAGAGTAAGAGACACCCTGAACCAAAACGGCTACCACAGCATTCTCCAGCACCATGTAATACCCTCTAGTATGCACCTAGTTGGTCAGGAGTTCATCCTACAGCAAGATATTGACCCAAGACATAAGTCCAAGCTATGCCAGAACTACCTCAGGAAAAAAGAACCAGATGGTAAGCTTGTAAACATGGAGTGGCCGGCACAGTCCCCAGGCTTAAACCCCATGGAGCTGGTTTGGGATGAACTGAACAGAAGAGTGAAAGCAAAGCAGCCTACAAGTGCCACACGTTTATGGGAACTTCTGCTACAGATATGGGAAGAACTTTCTGAAGAATATTTGATTTTTATTGTAGAAAGAATGCCACGAGGGTGTTCAGCTGTTATATCTGCCAAAGGTGGCTACTCTGATGAGTCAAAAGTTTAGAACACATTTTGGTCTATAAATTGATTCCATGATTTCTTTTTTAACTCCAATCACTTATTTGTACCATGCTTTCATTTCAGAGTGCAGTGGGACATTAAACTGCAAAATTTCCAATTAAAAACTGGAAAATTGGGGCGTTCTAAAACTTTTGACTGGGAGTGTGTATATGATTTCCTGGATTCTGGTGGCAATTTACTTGATTTTATGTCCTTTACGAAGAAATTTCATTATTCGTTGTAGTCAAAAAGAATGCTGACAGGTTTGGAAAGCAGTTCAGTGGGTTTAAAGCAGTTAATTTATAAAATGTTATTTTCGACTAAAAAACAAGCGTTGCCTAAGCTCAAAATGGATGGAATTAATATGTTGAATAGAAAACTTGATATTATAAATGCAAACTTCTAAGTGATTTTATGTCATGATTATACTAAAGGAAGGTTTTCACAATTTTTTTAATAGGAACCAATTTTATATGACAAAAGCCTTCTCTAAATTTAAGTGGCCGATGAGACGCATTTCTAAATAATTAACATTTATCCAGCGACAGAATTTCTCAAAGAAGATTTAAATTTGAAATGGATCCATATGCCTTTTGTGACTCCGCCTGTGAGACGTTGCAGCATCTGTTTTTTTTTTTCATGTCCAATGCCTGCAAACATTTGGTTGCAAATGCATACTGTCTCAAAAGAAAAATGATATACCAAGCTTTGAGTTGGCTCATATAATTTTTTTGCGTGGATTGTCTACCTCCATTTTTATCTGACATGATAAATATGATTATTCTTATTGGGAAATATTGTATTCATTGTAATAAGTGGAAAACCATTTTACCTAGTTTTCCTAGATTCATTGACTTTATTAAAATTAATATGATTTCTCTTCACTAAATTATCTGGAATCAAACCGCTTCGCTAACATTTATGACAATATTTCATTTTTTCTGTAATTTTATGTATGACGCCTGTATTCAGTGCTCTTGTGACGTATTTTTGTTTGCTGTGGAATTACTTTCATAGGGAGCCTAAGTCTCTTCCCTTTCCGGTCGGCTCACGGGTCGCCGGAAGAATGAAAAAATGCATGCAAGTCAACGGGGTTAAAAACGTTATTTTCTAATCTGCCTTGCCTTACGCCCTGGATCACACACGTTGTGATTCAGTTGAAAAGAAAACTAATGATGGGAGTTTCGACCACGCCAGTCACATACTTAGAGATTTATTAGCTTGTAAATGTTCGTAATTAGCATAACTACACATCAGACATCGGTACGTCGCATATGTGACGTCACCATATAATCTCCTCCCCTCTAGCGTAGCTGCTACTTACCACATGACCAGATTTCTGGTGGTTCTTTCCTCCTGTGGGAAGTTTGCTGAACTTGGAGCCCTTTTCCCAACGTTTTCTCCGTGTCTGGTTCGATGACGTCCCTTTCGTGAAAAGCAGGTGTCCTGGACTTATTTGTACACAAAACCTAAAATAGCTTTTACCCCCGTTCGAAAATAATCGTGTTTTTGGTATCAAAGTGTGTCTTTAAAATTCACGGACATCATATGTGAAATCCATGGAACATAACAAGCGGAATTAGGAAATAGCGTTTTTAGCCCCGTTGACTTGCATTCACTTTTTCGTTCTTCCGGGGACCCGTGGTGCAGAAGTGACTTAGGCTCCCTATAGTGTGATGGTTTTTTATTTATTTTTTTTTTTTTGTGTGTGTGGTTGAAGATGACCGGTCTTGACATTGAGAAGGACCAGATCATTGAGATGGCGTGCCTCATCACAGACTCTGACCTGAACATCTTAGCAGAGGTGACAACAACATACATTACAACATACGTTACAAAAGCTTCAGCGTCTCTTCTGTCACGTTTACATCCAACCATCCTTTTGGCTCCAGGGGCCCAACCTGATCATTAAGCAGCCAGACGAGTTGCTGGACGGGATGTCGGAGTGGTGTAAAGAGCATCACGGGAAGGTGAGGAACCATGGAGTTGTTTTTGTTGGACCTCATTTCTAACTCTACAGTCGCAGGTTTATTAACATGAAAAAAAACCCTCCTTAGTTATTTGTATCCTGATGTTGAGGTGTTTATGTCTTTGTTTAGGAACGAGCTCATTAGACCATTCTGTTTGCAGCTAACTGGTGTGAGACTGGGAGTTTCCTGGTTTCAGTCACCTGCCAAGCAGTAACCGTGAAATAAAAGTTATGTTTCTCTCGCCCCAGTCAGGATTGACCCAGGCCGTACGAGACAGTAAAATGTCACTGGAGCAGGCAGAGTACGAGTTTCTGTCTTTCATCAGGCAGCACACCCCACCTGGACACTGTCCTCTGGCTGGTGAGTAACAGCTGTGTGCAGAGTAGAGTGATGCTAGCGAGGAGAGCAACAGCATTTTCATGGCCTTTCCCACCAGAGTGTCCTCTGAGAGTCACACTGAACCATATTAAATCCAGTAAACACATAAATGCAAACTGATCACAGACTCTAAATTTAGGCTAATGTTTCTGCTCTTTATGCAAACACATGCTGTGTGATGATTACTGTCCAGAATGTTCTACAGAAACATTCATCTGTAGTTTCCTCTTCCTTCCCAGTCCCTGTTGGTCCTTCCCTTCATCCTGTTGTTATTTCCACCTTTTTTAGGAAACTCCGTGCATGCAGACAAGAGGTTTCTGGATAGGTTCATGCCACAGTTCATGTATCACCTTCACTATCGAATCATTGATGTCAGCACCATCAAGGAGCTCTGCAGGTATGAACATTAAAGGTCTGGTTGTGGCTTTGCTGCAGTGAAAAGCTCATTGTCTTCGGTTGTATTGCTGTAAGGTAATTAGCAAGATGCAAAAATAAGACTTCTATAGTTTAACCTGTAGGGTCAAGCTCTGATTGTAGCCACAGCCACGAGGGCGCACACGTAGCAACAAATGGCTGTGCCTACTAAGCTCATAGCACTGCGGCTGCAGTTATGGCCACTGCGGCTGCAGTTATAGCCACTGCGGCTGCAGTTATGGCCACTTCTGCTGCAGTTATAGCCACTGCGGCTATGGCCACTGCGGCTGCAGTTATGGCCACTGCAGCTGCAGTTATAGCCACTGCGGCTATGGCCACTGCGGCTGCAGTTATGGCCACTGCAGCTGCAGTTATGGCCACTGTGGGATGGGCACAGCCAATGTTCTATGAGCATAGCAGTTGACTGCTATGACCACAGCTACTGTGCTAATGGCAGAGCACCCCAGTGCCACTTTAGCATAATATGACGAGGAACGAGTTCAAAGTACACCAAAGACATTCATTAAACATCAAATATGAACAAAGTTTCAAGTATGAACACATTTTTTAATCACTGTACTTATAAACTGCCAAAACGATGTTTCTGAGATAAGTGTTAACCTATCGCAAAACCTTTAACGTAAAGGAGTCCGTCTGGGCAGTGGGTGCTGTCGCAACAATTCATAGCTATAGCCATTGGCTGTTCTAATAGCTACGGGATAGCAGTCACAGACATTTGTGGCTACGGGCACGCCCTCGTGGCCATGGTACAATCGGAGCTCGGCCTCCCTCAGTTTAACCTCCATATCTGACTTCATTTTGGGTAAATAAAACCATGATTGGTAGGTGAACCTAAAACTATAGCATGTCATAAATGTGTAATCGTCTTTTTAAAGTAGAAACAGAATAACAACAGAACTCTTGCTTGTGTTTTGGTTTCAGACGGTGGTTTCCAGAGGAATATAAAACAATACCTCAGAAGAAAGCAAGTCACAGGTAAGAGATGACATTGGCTGGGGGTTTCACAGCGATTGTCTCATTGATTAACCAGTTTTACTATTAACCAAATATTGCAGGAGTTTTAAGACTTCACCAACAACAGTAAAATAAGCTTAAGTACATTAAAACAGCTGGAACTTGTGGGACACAACCTACATATTTAGCATGGAGGTCTCCTGTGCAGACCTTTATGTGGGGGTGGGGAGATCTGACCTGAGGGGTGGCTGGCTACACTGTAGAGGAGAGTAATAGTCCAGTAGGGCAGTGGGTAGTATTTAGCTATACTGATATTTTCAGCCAAATAACTAACGTATGTAAACACGGATTTAACCCGTCTCATCTATTATATTGTTTGTATGATGTACAAAAATGCATGTATAATTTAATTGTATCCAGAAATACCATTATTCATTAAATATATATATATTTCAAATCCGAGTTGGTGGGTTAAATTCGTGCTAACATAACTTAGTTAATGGGTGGCCACCTTACCATGGTGGATGGTTTGAGTGTCTCAATGATCCCAGAAGTTAAGTTGGAGTTAAGGTTTTTTGCCTCTGGTAAGGTCACCCATAGAAAACAAGTCCTAGTTGAGGGATTTGACAAAGTGCAGCCCAAAGACCCTTTGTGATGATGAACATAAATGGAAAAAGTGTTCCCTCGCCCAGACCTGGGTCAGCAGGACCCGCTTCTGGAGCCAGACCTGAAGTTGGGGCACATTGGCGAGCACCTGGTGGTTGGGTTTTTACCAAGCCCCCTTAATTCTGCAGCTAATTTGAAGTCAACAAGGAAGTGACAAAAATTGCAGTTCCACCCTCATCCACTAGGGTCTGGCAGCAGAAGTGAGCAAATCCTCATTGACTCCCATGTTAAAAAAGCCAAATTCACAGCAGAAATAAACATGTTTACAGTCTGGTTCAAAAAACAAGTTTAGGTTTAATAGATCTAGATTACATTCATGATAACTCTGAGGGGGGTGAATTTTTTTGTAACTCTGCTGTTCAATTGGAATTTAATGCTTAAAAATCTGAATAATTAATGAGCATCGACGCGACTTTAGAGCTAGCTCTGATCGGCCTCACCTTAATAGATGTTCGGCCATGTTGACTCTCTGAACTTTAGTTTTGTCTGTGTGTTCGTGTTTGGATGTTAATCATGGAATTAGTTGGACAAAAGGGCAAGCCATGGTTACTAACAGACCATCCAAGCAGTTTCTGCTTCTTTTTATCAGGAAGTAAAATTATATTTCTGTACTTTATTTCATGGTTTGAATGGGGGGAAATGTCTGGTTGCACTCTGAGAAAAGGCAGGCTATGCTAATGTAGACACTCTCTATTCTATCCAGACCATGCAGAGCTGATGCTAGTGGTAAAGGGGCATAAGAGTCTGCTGGGAATGTCTGGTGGAGTCTCCTGTCCGCAGGAGCTTTAATTGCCACCTCCAACAAAATTTCAAACATGTCCTGAGGGAAGCGGGGGGCATTGAGTGTGAGTGGGCCATGTTCCATGCTTCCATTGTCAAGGCGGCTGACTGGAGCTGCAGTCGGTCTTGGTGGCATCCCCCAAACCTGCTGGTGGACACCAGTGGTTAGGGATGCTGTCAAACTGAAGAGGCAGCTGATACTGTAGGTACCGGCAGTACAAGTGAACCGTGGCTCGAGCAGTCATGGAGGCAAAAACCCAGGCGTGGGAGGGGGTCGGCGAGACCATGGACTCCTCGGAATGAGACATGCAGGAACTTCCTGTGTTGCAGGATGGAGATATGAGTTCTTCAGGTTATGGAGGGGAACCAGGTGTCCTGGTGCGCGTAATCTGAAACCCCTTTCATCGTGAGCATGCAGAAATGTTTCACCGTCATGGATCAGTTGGAGACGGTCAAGAATACGTCACATTCCTCCCATTTGTTTCAGAACTATGCTAAACAAAAATATAAATGCACACTTTTGTTTTTGCTCCTATTTTTCATGAGCTAAACTCAAACATCTGAAAACTTGTCTACATGCACAAAAGACCCATGGCTCGCAAATATTGATCTGAAATCTATCTACATGTGTGTTAGTCATCACTTTTCCTTTACCAAGATAATCCATCCCACCTCACAGGTGTGGTATATCAAGCATGAATAACGTAAAGGTGCGCTTTTGTTTTGTTGTTTTGATACCAACTTGGTGAAGCGTAACAAAACTGGTCTTTTACAACCTATAACTCACTTAATTAATTTGTCAATTACACAGGCAGTTGTTCCACAAGAGTGGAAAGTGGCAAAAGTGATTACCATCTACAAATCAGGGGACAAAACAGACCCTGACAATTATGATCAGCATTTTGCCTATTATTTCAAAAAATGCAGAGAAATGGATGGTTGAATCTATTTTACAACAGTTGAACAGTGGTGATCACTCCCTTCATCCTATGCAGTTTGGCTTTCGCTGTCACCACTCAACAGACAGCGGTCTGTGTTTTTAGTGAAAAGGTTAAATCATACTTGGACAGAAATACTTGCGTTGCTGCTGTTTTCACTGATTTTAACCCTTTGATGCATAATGGTCACTACAGTGGACAGGTACTCAAAATTGTTATTTATTTGTTTTTGCTATTAAGCACAGCTGTTGAAGACTTAATTGCATGTGAGCCCCTCCATTTGGACTTCAGTAAGTCAAGCCACCATATTTCATGTTCAGAATGCACGCTGTCCACTGAGATGGACATGTAATAAATTATTTGTAAATTAACAAAATGTTACAAAAAATATTTGTTGAAATTTGTTTCATTCACACCTAAAGATGAATGAAAAAAATTGTTTAAAAAATCATGGTTGAAGATTTCATAATTCATGCATCAGAGGGTTAAAAGAGCATTTGACACAGTGAACTATTTTGAACTCATCTCTAGACTTGAAGCATTTAATTTTATGGATCACACAGTTAAATGGCTCCAATCATATCTATCTGACAGAAGGCAATGTGTACAGGTAGGTGACAGTAAGTCACCATACCTTTATTCTCCAGCAGGTGTCCCCCAAGGGTCAATTTTGGGACCATTACTGTTTTCACTCAATGTTAATGACTTGCCAAACTATGTCGAAATGTAGATACCATTATGTATGCAGATGACAGTCATTTTTACACACTCCAAAAATCCTCAAGAGGCGGCTCAACAACTTTCATCTGCTTTAAATGACCTCCAGACATGGCTAGAGGACTCGTTTGTCTCAACATCAAGAAAACTGTGTGTATGTTCTTCTCCAAACCAACATCAAGACGGACACCAGCAAAGGTGTATCTGAAAGGAGAAGAAATACAAAATGTTAAACAATTCAAATACCTTGGGGTATGGTTGGACTCAAAATTATCTTTTAGAAAACATGTGCAGAATATTGTCAAAACTGTAAATTATAATTTGCGTAATTTTAAACATATAAGAGCGTCCCTGACACATAAAGCAGCAGGCACATTTTTGCATTCAATGATACTGCCTCACATTGGCTATTGCATCACCAGCTGGTCATTTACTGCCTCTTCTGTTGAGTCCTGCTAAAGGGCAATGAAAATCCTGGACAAGAAGCCAATGTTGTATCATCACTGTACGATTCTGGATAAATATTCTCTACTGAGTTTCCAAAATTTTAAAAATTTTAATCTGCTTGTCTGGTCTATAAAGTTATTCATGGTCTAGCCCCTTCACCACTGAATGATTTTATTATTCAAAAATCACATAGGGACTCTTCTAGAGTAACTCAAGCTACAGTTAGAGATGACTGTGAGCTCCCTCTTAGGCGAACGACATTTTCTCAAAACGTTCTGTCATTCCAGGGCTCGACTTTTTGGAACAGCATTCCTACTCAAGTGAGAGAAAGCTCAAGTTTTGTTAATTTCAAAAGACGATTGAAACTGTGGCTACAGGAAACTCAAAGATGCAATCATAGATGACACTTTTATTTGTTTTTACTCTTGTCTTTTTTGTAAAATGTGTTAACTGTTTTTTTATGTATATTGTTGTCTGTCTTATCTCTTTTAACATTAACCTGTCAGAGGACGGCAGATGGAAATTAGCCTAAGGCTACAATCTGGTATATTTACAGTTGTATTGCTGTTCATAAATATGCATTGTCCTCTCTTTAAATAAAGAAATAAAAAAAGACTGCCCACAATAAAAGGACACCCTGAAATGTGCAGTTTGATCAAACAGCACAATGCCACAGATGTTGCAACCTTTGAGGGAGCAAGCAATTGGCATGCTGACTGCAGGAATATCTATCAGAGCTGTTGCCCATGAAATGAATGTTAATTTTCTACCATAAGCCGTCTCCAAAGGCATTTTAGATAATTTGGCAGTACATCCAACTGGCCTCACAACCACAGACCACGTGTGACCACACCAGCCCAGGACCTTCATGAGAAATAGCGAGAATCAAATTCAACTTCTCCTCCCCCCAGGAACTCAGGAGATGGCCTCCTAGATGGGTCCCACAGTTCTAATTCGGGGGTGGAACACTGTTCCAATGATGTTACACCACTTACACACTAGCATCGGCTCCACTCCGCGCCACCTGCCCCAGCCCGGTGGCGTTCCTTACACACTGCCTTAGGAATGGGGACATGATTGAGCACATTGGTGGTCTGTGGCCTGAAATGTCATGAGTGTGGGCGGGGCGGTTTCTCCATTATTAAATAAAAGTGGACAGAGCAATCTTGCTTTTGGAGACTCTGACTCTGATTTTGCATCCTGCTTTGCTGTGTGTGTGTGTTGTTGCTCACAGCAGTGAGAGATGGAGAAAAACAGTTTCAGTCAGAGGCTCGTTAACTCCACAGCATCTTGAATGATAATGAATCGCGCACATTGTTTCTATCAGCCAATCGAAGGCTCCCCCTAATGGTACATGTGATTTTGAGCTGGCCAGTCAGTCAGCAGTGGGTGTGTCAGCCCTGTTTGGCTCCAGGCAGACCGCCTTGGGAAGAGGGCTGAAAAGATGTCTGGTTGCGCACAGAAAAATCCGAGGTTATCTAAATGAAAACACACCCAATTCGGTCCAGGTGGAGTGGAGCCGATGCTAGTGTGAAAGTGCCACCTCTACAGGGATGGGGCAGAACATGAAGCAAGTGGCCATTGTGAATTGTATTGTGAAACCAACTGTACATCAGGCATACACAGCGCCATTCCTGAGTGCTCTCCGAGAGCGTTCGTGTGCATGGTGCAGGTGGGACACGTGCTGCGTCCGACAGCTAAGCTCAGTCCCCTACCACCACCAGTCATTCCAAGCAAGCATCGGGAGCGCCCATCGACATATAAATATTGGACAGTGGGTTTCCATAGGCTCCAATAATACGTTTTTGAGCTAAAATGGGAGGTGGCCACCACCGCCATTTTGACCATGTCACAGGTTCCGTCAAGCCCAGACAATTCCACAAAAGGGAAGAGAGGTGGAGCTGAGGGTGGGGCTGTAAGGCTGGGATCAACTGACGACACCAGGTCAAACTAGCTACAAGCTAACCTGAAGCTAACCCAAAGCTAACGCGGAGGTGGGAGCGAAGCTAACGGAGGTAGCAACCTAGCTACAACCGGAGTTAACTGTGCACAACACCAGAGCTTCTGAGTCAGCGATACGCCGGGCTGAGCGCTGGGTAAAACCGGGTGGAACACAGAGGTCTCCCGAGAGCTCCACAAGCTGGCAGCCGCACAGCAGACAAGCGCTGCTACGATCTGAGATGCGCAGAGCTGCCGCTGGGGAGAACCGGGTGGAAAGGTTTCCATCCCAGAGCTCCACAAGCCGTCAGCCCGCGCAGCAGACAGAAACCGCAATCAGACAGAGATGTGCCGAGCTGCAGGGAGGGGAGAACGGGTGGAAAACATCTGTCTCCTGAGAGCTCCACAAGCCGATAGTCGGAACCCAGCTCCACCAACATGTTATATTTCAACCCATTTTCTAAAGTGCAGCAATATGTTAAATGCACTGGGTTTTACCCTATTACATTTAAATTTCATGGTTAAACAGTACATGTTAAAATCTAAGCTCAGCTCGGCAGTGACCTAAAATACATAAATATAATTTTACTTACAGAAAAAAATGAAGTGGAGACTCCTTGGACGCTCTATTAGTGCAATTAATGCCACAGCAAGTCATTTTGTCCAACAGTTGCACAAAAAATATCCAAAAAAGAATACACAAACACAGAGACTCAAAATCCCAGAACAGTTTCCAAGCCAGACCGAGGCTCTACTGAAGCCTTTCCACTGAGCGGTCACGTGGGTCGAATGCTCATTAATTATACAGAATTTTAGGCTTTTAATACACTTAAACAGAAGAGTGAGAAAAAAATTCACCCTCCTCAGAGTTGTCATGAGTGTAAACTAGATCATTTAAACAAAAAACATGTTTTGGAACCAGTCTGTAAACATGTTTATTTCTGCTGTGAAATTGGTATTTTTAACATGGGAGTCAATGAGGATTTGCTCGCTTCTGACACCAGCCCCCAGCGGATGAGGGTGGAACTACAATTTTTGGTACTTCCGGGTTGGCCTCAATTTTTGAGCCGCATTGTGGGGGCTTAGGAGCGCCGCATGGCGTGCAGTTCTCAAAAGGGCGAGTTGAGAAGCCCAGAAGCACAGTCAGTCTCCGCAGCAGAGCCCTGGTGGCGAGTTAAATTGAGACGCTTGTGATTGACGTAGAGGCACAATGTTTTATTGTCTTCCAGTGGCATGTTGTTGTTCCATCAGTGAGCTGTTGGTGGCAGAGCTGCTGGGCGATTGCTGCTGAATGTTGTATTATAATAATAAATGTGGGAATGTTCATAGTTTAGCTCTTTTCTACAATCCCATCAGTTTTACACAAATTACTGTAAATGACCACGTTAATATTTTGTAAAGTAGTTCGTAAAGTTATGAGCGACTGTTATATTGTTGGAGCGGATGCTCTTACTTTGAAAGTCACAGAGCGACAAGGTGCCATAAATCAAGTGGCGTAAACTATATAGCCAAAGTGCGAGATCTAATGCACAGAGAGAAGGTGTGCTCTATTGTTAATGGACGGGAATGGGAAAAAGAACGGCTATTAAGGTGCAAAGCAGTTTCTTAGCACCTGGTTGATGAGGGAACAAGGTTTGTAACAAAGTTTGTCCTGTAGAAATGCACTTTGCTAAGTTTTTTTTACCCGCTAGAGGGTGCTAACGTATCTTGTCATGTCTAGGCAGCGATGCAACGATTTCACTGTTCTATGCCAGTGGTTCCTAACCTGGGGGTCCCGACCCCCACAAGGGGGCGCCAAAGCCTCTCAGTGGGTCGCCAGGACCTCTCCACTTTAAGGGGTTAAAACTTCATTTATTACTTGTTTATAGCCTACATTTTGCTCACATTTTTTTTTTTCATGAGTGAAAAGTTTACTGATATTAAGACAGGAAATAATTAGTACAGAAAGAGTAACACACTTTTAAGAACATTTTGCTCAGCTCACTGTTTTATTTTCAAGTGTCAAAAGTTCATTAAAGATAGGACTGGTTGATTAATCACAGCCTTTACAGTAAATAATCTAGTATAAACAGTAATATACACATTTAAGTACATTTTGCTCAGTGTATTTTTTATGTGTCAAACGTTTATTGAAAGGAATGATTGATTTATCAGTGTTTACAAGAAACAATGTGTTCAGAAAAGTAAAACAAACTGTCAAGCACATTATGCTCTGTTGGTTTTGTTAATGACTTTGTTCTGTACTGGAGCCTACTATTACTGTTTTCTATTGAATCAAAGCATATTAAAATGTGCTTGAACAATTTTATCATTTCTTAATAATGTTTGTACTGGAAGAGAGAATGGGAGGGGGTGGTCAAAAATTTTACTGGTAAAAAGGTTGGGAACCACTGTTCTATGCAATAATTGACAAGTTTCAGTGTTATTTGTTATGAAAGGTAAAGAGAATTAATTTGTGATGAATAAACAAGTCCAAGTGGTTAAAGGTAACACACTGTTTGATTTACTAATAGTCTTTTATTCTGTATGTGGTAGCTCTTACGGTGTGTTCACACGCACGGCTTTTTAATAAAAGGATTGTGAACCATCAGTTTGAGAGACCATCTCTTCAACCGGGGATGCTACAATTACAAATACTTGTATGTATTAATATAACCTTTTTCATGTTTCAGAGCCTTAGAGGACATCCATGAGAGTATAAAGGAGTTGCAGTACTACAGAGCCAACATCTTCAAATCCTCCTGGGCTGAAAAGTGTGAGATTATAGGAAATGGAGACAGCAATCAGAAGTAGCCCCCGTAGATGGGACCACCAGGAAATGCTTGAATTGAAGTTTAGTCAGTTCTAATGACTTGATTTTAGTTTCTTCATTTGTTTAAGTTCTCTGCAACCTTTCTTTTAGCATTGTTTCACCTATTTAGTACATTTCACTGCAGACAGCAGCAAAATGTGCAAAATATTCTAGAAACGGCTTTTTCAAAAGAAATAAAGTGAGCAACGTTTAAAAAGCATCAGATTGTTGTTTTCATGTCAGCACAGTGTGTGTGTGTGTGTGTGTGTGTGTGTGTGTGTGTGTGTGTGTGTGTGTGTGTGTGTGTGTGTGTGTGTGTGTGTGTGCGCGCGCGCATTTTTTTGCGCATCTGTAACTGAACAAACGTGCCTAAAGTCACTTGTGTATTGGCAACATAAGGTATAAATATAATAAAACGTCCCTAAACACTTGTCAGATGTGTGGTGCAGAGGATTGGTACTGGGTTCTAGTGCCAACTGTATTAAGTTCTTCTGGTCGTCCTAGCAACTGTGAGAGCTAGGGACCGATCCATAGATTACAGGCTTTCATCTCCCTTGTGGGAACACCTTTGTTTCTATTCTCAGTGGGCTTTTTTTCCTGTTTTTATCTCCGTGTAATTGTAATAAAAATCACACTTTTAACGAGTTTTCCAAAGCAATTCAGCAAAGATTGTAACACAACCCCTAAATGACCAGAAGATGTCCCAAAATAACATCACCAATGGCAGGCTTCAAGGTCAGGTGGGGGGCAACCATGTGCGGGTAGTGATGCATTTAGGAACACTGTTCCTGTACCTGAACGCTGACTGAACCTCGCATCTCAGGATTGTTTTAGCATTTTATTTTTGTAGTCGGAACTGAATTCAGGATTCTTTATTTTTATCATTTATGTATGGCCACATGTCCCCACCCTCTGCTGTTCAAAGTAGTCAGCCCAGCTTGTGGGCTCGAGTCGGGTTGAAATAGAGAACTCCAACACAACCCTAGAAAACTTCCTTTTGCGCCTGACAGTCCCTGATGACCTGTTGTGGATCAGAGAGGTCCTCCTCGAACTAGGATCCTTGGGCCACCAGAAGTACACGAGCCATAAACTGAAGGTCCTCACGTATTGGGCCTGAAGATGCATCCTCTGAAGAATGAATTAGCGCAGACACATTTTTAAGTCTGTTCACTTAATCAAGTAATGCAAAAGTAAAACCCACTGAAATACTAAAGTACCGTAATCTGGAGTCTAGTGTCGACATGCATGATGATGGACCAAAATGTGTCTTCAAGAGCAGCAAATGAAGGAATGAACCAGCTAAGTTAAGGAGGCGCCTCATCACAAAGCTAGTTTTATGTTTAAACTAAAGATTTTCCAGTGAAAAGACGAGGATTACACGGCCCAACAAAAATGGCGAACCAGGCCACAACATGGAAGGGATGATTTACCCATCGGTGGAGACAGATTTCAAACTGCTGTTGTCAATTAGTGTAGAATTTTTTGGAGCTGAAGGGTTTAGGCAGAATTTTGAGTCTAAGAAAATGCACCAAAATGATGACTACACAAGTCTACAACACTATAATACATTTATTTATACCAGTTATCAGCAAAAAAAGCTGATTTTGGTGTGACTTGCTCTTTAAAGGTTTATACTCCAGTAACGTGTGTTATGTGTTTTTACCCCTGTAAGGGGTCCCTGGTTCTCTAAAGTTTGAGAACCCCTGGTTTAGATGACACATGGAACGTGACCAGAACAACCGTGTTGTTACAGAGCAGCAAGACAAAAACACGGCTGAGAGGATGAAAAAGTGAAGTGTCCGACAGCAGGTGGCGTCTGAAACGGAGAATAAAAAATGTTTCTGGAGATTAAAATACCTCCAGAGACGGAGCCATTCTGGCGTGCAGAGGCAGAACGGTCCATCTCCAGATCTACGGAGATCCTTTAGAGTTGGTAAAACATCTGATCTACTGTAGTAGGGTCAAAGGTCATTCTGCTGCGTCAGCAGATAAACAGAAACTCACCCATTATTTAAGAGGTTCCTTGAGAACATGCTGGATCATCATTGTGATGCAGCTCAGAAAGATTAACAGGAACACAACTGTCCAGAGTTTAAAAATAAAAGATGAACTCTTTATTGTACTGGTGTGTAATGACTGGACCAGTGCTTCTATCCTAAAGAGACAGGAAAGCAGCGATGGTCGTCCCTTTAGCATTTAATCCCTGATCAGCTGTTATTTAATTTAATTAGGAAATGTTCCTACGAGAACTCGGATTCCATCAGCTGGACGTTTGGTTTGCTGCAGCAGATCAAAGCTTTAGGCCAGCGGTCACCAACCTTTGTATAGCTGAGAGCCACTTCCTGGGTACTGAGCTATACGAAGGGCCACCAGGTTGGTACAACACTGGCCTTTGAACTGGAATGGATCAGCATTAAACCGAACCCTTGTGTATAATAAACATAATTTGTTTTTAAAGAATATTGTAGTTTTTAGATCTATATTAATGCATTTGTGATTAAAAACATCTCAGCAAACTTCAGATACGTTTTATTGTATAGTGGTGTTGGTGACCTCCGCTTTGACCCTCGTCTACTCTGGTGTAGCCCTTCGACACGTCGTTTAGCCAACATGTTTGTTACGTTGGCTTTCCGCAGAATGTGCTTCGTCTGGAGACATATGTCTGGGTCAGACCTCTGAGAGCAGACAGAAACGTTTCACATAATGTTAAACTTTATTGATCACATTAAAAAACAACCGAGTTGATTCAAAGTGCTATTTTATTTAAGGCATTAAGAATGTAACAGGAAGTACACATACATTATTGTAAACGAATAAAACCATAACAGGGTTTGGTTATGCGCTAACAAAGGGTCACTCTACCGCTGATGGAGCTCTGGACATCACATGATCATCATGTGTTCATCTCCAGAGCAGTCACATGTACAGATGGAGAACTTCATTTTTATGTGTTTTGCTTTGCTCCACCTGCTGGACCAGCTACTGTAGTGCAAGTTTGCTTTTCGGTTATTGGTTTATTTTAACTTCGGTGTACTACACCTACATTTCTTTGCTCCGATAACCGAGTTTAGGCGTGTAGCTACACTTCCTGCCTGGCCTTCCTTCTCCCTGTGGAGATTTTAGGGGTAAATCCTCTAAACTGTTTAGTAAGAGCTGTGCTGGGTTTGTGGCTGATTGTGCAGCGATAATAAAAAGTAAATCCAACAACAATGAAAAACATACATTAGCTACATTATTGTGTACTGCAGCCGCTAAAAGGATAATGTCTTTTATACAGGTGTAAGGTGAAGAATGGCTTTCCGTCCACTTTTCTAATTTAAATGGAGCTGAAAAAACTGAAATGATCTCAAGACAGTAAACAGAAAGTGTAATTTGCATAAATAGGCTGAAGCCCAGGTCTCAGAGTCATCCTGTCCAACCTGACGGTCTACTAGCTCCAACGCTGAGGCGTACTCAGCCCTGCATGCTCCAGGTCTGCAGAGGTTTAGGCTTCACAAACGTGGATTTCTGGATTGATGAAAACATTTCTGCTCGCTGTCCTCTCACACACACGCACCCAGACTAACAACACTGTCACCAAACTGAGGCTTTTGTTCTCTGATCAAATCAAACGGTTTTTCCGTTACACTGAGTGTGTTGATAAACAATCTGATTAAATTACACATGAGCTAAGAGAATAAACAGATGTTAGTGAGTTAGCAAAGAGCAGATTAATAAAACTCCAGCATGAAGGTGGCAGGTGACACACATTCCTCCACGTTACAGATTGTTTACCAAAGCCACATGATTTGGAGAAGCAGTTGGATTCAGACGCTGAAGGAAGTTTCTGCAAAGTAACATTGCTGCTGCTGGGTTAGGGTTACTGTGTGGCAGACGGAAGGGTATGGAGGTCTGCAGTATTTCCAGAGGTTAGATGGAGCACAAAGACATGACCAAAGTCAGGTTTAGTATCCGTTTCCCAAACTCCAGCTCTAATGAACACCATATCAACCCAACAGAAGGAGGTTAATGTAGCTGCAATGATTAGATGATTAAGATTTCTGCTATCACGGCGGTACACAGGGCTGATGAGCATGCAGAGTTTCAGAGTCCTGCAAGTACCAAGAATTTCACATAAACAGTACCCGCTGTCAGGTTTACGTAGGAAAAAAAGAGGTACACAGAAGCTGTAAACATTTACCCTTTAAGCTTCAGAGTGGAAAGACGTCTGGTGCCTGGTCTGTGCTCAGGATCTGTAGGAATCATTGTGGGGACCCTACCCCGGTACCATTGATCTAGTTTTGTTGAAGCACTAAAGGAAAAAGCATCTAAAAAGCCAATAAATAAGAAGTTATGACCTGTATTATTTCATTATTGCAAACTACAAAACTGAGATGAAACAGGACTGTGGTGGTTGCGTTTTTGTCCCCGATCAGGGTGCAAATGTTAAATAAATGCAGCAAAAACAACTAAACCAGAGGAGTCTCGCCGGGCGGATCGGTGTCTAAGACGTGGAGGATAAAGACAAATCAGAACCACGTTGATTTGGAATGAAGCTGCCATCTGATCACTTATTGCTGTTTTCTTCTTGAGTTCAGATGAGGATCTCCACCACGTCTGAGTCCACCTCCTGTTGTGGTGGTGGAGCTGAAGCAGGAGCTGGCGGCAGCACCAGGGCCTGGACAGGAAACCTTCTCTCCAGCGTGCTGCTGTGAAAAGCAGGTACATCTACACAAACAAATAAACATCCTAAATGTAAAGTTCTAATAACAGCATCAAACACAAAACTCCATCCAGTAGGCCAGGGAGTAAATAAAACACACAGCCCAACAGTGGGCTGGTATCTAGGCCTCAAGTCTCCAACATCTGATCAGTAAAACGTGTCGCTAACTCCAGAAGAGTTTCGATGGTAGAAATGGTTGGATTTTAACCTCAGGAGTGCTAAAAAACTCAGCCAGAATGTGACAGTCCACCGATTGCTTGTTGAACATCCGCCAGTACCGGAGTGGGGTTTCAGACGGATTACTTCTTTAAACAGACGATATTTAAATGTTAAGACCACCTGATGGAGAAGCCAGAGTAGTGAGTACAACCAAAATGCTAACCACTAGCTGAATGGTTATAAAGTTTGGTTGGAACAATAAGTCAGTCTGGGAATCGGTCTTCTCTCTATACAAGTAGTGTGTGTGTGTGTTTGTTTGCACATGTGTGTAATGGCGTTTACACATTAGCGTCAGCTCGATCCCGGAATTTGGTTTCACACACAGGTCAGATTTGTCTTTTTGGTTCCGAGGCCTTTTTTCAGACCTCCTCCTGATGACTCGGACTCGAGGACAAAAAAACCCGATCGGGACATCCCTACTGAGAACCACACCTCCATGCTGCAGCAGCGTTCAGTCAGAACAGGAAGTGAAACTTAAACGTAGCTGCTGTCAGTAACAATCTAACAGATTTTAAACATTAAAACTCAACAGAAACAGTTCAGAAAGGAAATTTCACAACTTTGTGTGTGATTTATTATTATTATTATTATTATTATTTATTGTGGCAGAAGCTGGTGTGGTCCACCACAGAGAAGCTGCTCTAGCATGATGACCTTAATTATTCTACAGGTTATTGTTCAGCCTTCTGATGCTCACACACACACACGCACACGCACACGCACACGCACGCACACACGCACACACACACACACACACGCACGCTGACGCTCCGTGTGTATTTTTATTTCTGCCGTGAGACAAACTCACCTCACACCATCCAGAGTTTGTTCTTTAAAGCTTCTATTAAATCCACCGTGTTGATGTATTTTAACACGTTTCCTCTACGCTGCAGGAGTTAAAGTTTACATCACGGAGTAAAAGTTCGGCAGACGCATTTGTTTATATCTGGGTTGGAGGGAGGGGGGGACTCGGTGCTGCACACAGACAGCTGGTGTGATCAGCTCTGAAAAGTGTTGATCACAATTTGCAGATCACGTTTATTTTTCACTGAAATCGGCCGCGGATTCCTCTTCCGTCGGCATTCTAGGAATCAAAACTAGGAATCGAAATAAAACTTTGAACGATTCCAGGAAAAACTAACTGTTGGTCCCGGTTCAAATCGATGCTCGGTGCCCAACCCTGTTTAGTAAAGTATGTTTTGTTTTAGTAAAGTGATTTTAGGAAAAGTTCATTTTAGAAGTTTTGTTTAGAAATTTTTACTTTAGTAAAGTGCGTTTTGTTTTTAGTAAAGCGAATTTGGTAAAGTTTGCTTTGTAAGGTGAGAGTAAAGTGGCTTGGCATTCTTCACCTTGTAGCATCCTGTGTAATTCCGATGGAGTGAGCTGACCTGCTAAGCGATCAGGGATGTAAACCGGGCTGGGGCTGGACAGGCGGGCTGGCAGCGTCATACTCTGCAGGACTGGAGTGTTGGGCTTGCTGGTGTCCTGGCATTGACCCTTGTCGGTCTGTGTGCAGCTATCCCTACTGCCAGTCTTAGAGTGGCCTGTGATCATCGAGGTGGAAGACAGTATGGGAGAAGGGGAAGATGAGATCGACTCTGTCCTCAGAGACTCTGGACCCAAAAGAACCCCTGGAAAACCAAGAAAACAAGATCTCATCAAAAAGCAAGGACATCTTCTGCTTCATGTATTTAGGCACTTCTAAAAATGCTCATCTTTCTTATTTTTGCAACAATTGTGATTTTTATGAAACACTGTACTCCTTCATGAAGTTAGGATATTGATGACAAAGGAGTTCCAGTGTTTAGTTTGGGAATGATTTGTTTGAAAGTAGGTAAAAACAGAAGCACAGAATGTCTGTAGTGGTACTCTATGACAACAGAGTACTTTGTTCTGGGTTTGTTTACGTTTCTGACGTCTGATTTACAAAGAAGTTAATCCTCAGCACAAAAAGAAAAAAAACAGACAGGTCTGTACCCAGACTGCCCTTCCAGCTTGTGTCTTTGCGTTCTTCAGTGATCGGGGAGCTGCTGAGTCCAAGGCTGTGAGACAGTAACCCTGACCCACCAGAGCCAGTGTTAGAGATGGACATCAGAGACTTAGATGGTCTCATTGCAGATGGTGCATCTGACTTGGTGGGCTCTTTTCTGGAGCGCTGGTGGAGAACTTTGATCATGGCGTCCTTCTCAATGATCTGTGCATGGAGATTCTTTATCCTGGAGGATATAAGAACAGAATACAGCTTTAGCTCCCTTAATCGAGAGAAATTGAGTGTGCAAGTCAGCACTAATCCCACCTGCTTCTTTAATTAACAGGTTCAGCAATAGGCAACAACCTTAACCCCGACCCAAGGTAACAGGAACCTTTACAGCTATACAGTGACACCATGTGACCCTTCTCTCTGCATTTCCATCAGAGAGGAGAGGTTTCTCTGCTGCGGTTAACAGTTTCCAGACAATGCTCTCAGCTGGTTAACACTGGTAATGTAACCATGAGTCCGAGTTAGGAAAACTTCTGTGGTTCTGGTGGTCCATCCATCAGTAGTCTGAGCTATGTGGTGTTTCACAAAAGTCTTTGACTCATCACTCCTGCAGTTAAAGTTCAGGAGCGACGACGCCTCAGCGGTCAGGGTGAGGGGAGCCTGCACGTCATGTACATGTGAATGAAGACAGAAGTGCACACAGTGAATGTGGCTCTAACCTGCTCTCCATGTCCAGGCAGCGACGATTAGCCATGAGGATCTCCTCTTCCTCCTTCTGGATGCGAGCTTCCAGCGACGTGTCGTAGCTGCTGCTTGGTGAGTGGTTTATTCCTGCTGCAGAAGCATCCCTGCACAACAAAGGTCAAAGTTCACGTCAACAGAACGGCGGCTTCCAGTCATCAGGTGAGTTTTACCATGTCTCTCACTCTAGTCCATATACATAGACCAGGAGTCTCCTGCCTTGTTGTACCTTTGAAAATAGTCTTTGCACATGGGACATGGGGACTGTGTCCACATGTACACCAATGAGGATAATGTGCATTTCAGTCTGTGGAGGAAATGTGTGGAACAGGGCTGATGAGGAATTAAAAAGCTGTGTAATTATAAATCAACTAAAATATTTTATTAAAAGAATCATTAATGCAGGAGTACATGTGATGGGCCGTATTTCTGCATGATCTGGTGAGCGAGTTAGTGTTATGTGTGACATGGAGGACACCTTAAGTATACAAATATTTATATGGGTGTTTTTATTGGATGAGGCATCTGGGGGGTAGGATTTAATGAGCACATCATAATTTTCCTGTCATTTCCTGATTAGATCTGTTATTAATTATTTAATAATAATAATAAAATAATAAATAATATAATTAATATTTTTTATGTCTGAAATGAAGATGTCATTCATTCATTCACCAGCACAATTTACTCCTCAAAACATTCCGTTCAGGCACAAGAAGTGTAAATTATTACTTGTATTACATGTGGGGTTACCATGGTAATGTAACATTTTCATTGAGAACAACGTGAAATTCCTCCCGCCTTACACAGACTGTGCTGTTCCTATGACGCTGGTCAGAAGATTCGATTGATGTGGGACTACAACAACATACTCAGCAGCTTTTGGATATTATAATCGGTTTCAGTCTAGTGGGGATTTTTGGCTCATTTGAGATTTTGTAATGAGATGCGATCTTTCACCTGCTGTGGGCTAAATGGAAGCGTGCAGCCTAACACGTAGAGGATTCCTATTACAAAATCTCTAACTGACTACACTTACCACATGTTGGTAAGGTAACGAGTATGTTGGACATTAAATGACCCAAGTCCAGATGTTCCTGCGTGAGACGTATAGCTATGCAGACGACACCCAGCTCTATCGGTCATTTCCACCAGACGACCACACTGTCTCTGCACGAATATCAAACTGTCTCTCTGACATATCAAAATGGATGAAATCCCACCATCTTCAACTCAACCTCTCTAAAACTGAACTACTTGTCATCCCAGCGAAACCATCCATACAGCACAATATCTCAATCCAGAATGACTTCCTGTCTCTGGCTCCTTCAAATGCAGTTCGAAATCTGGGTGTTGTGATTGATGAACACCTGACCTTTAAAGATCATGTTGCCTCTGTTGCTCGTTCATGCCGCTTTGCGCTGTATAACATACGAAAGATCAGACCATACCTAACACAACATGCCACCCAGCTCCTGGTGCAATCTACTGTCATCTCCCGCCTCGACTACTGCAATGCCCTTCTAACTGGTCTTCCAGGCTGTACTGTGAGACCTCTTCAAATGGTCCAGAACGCAGCGGCGCGTCTGGTCTTCAATCAGCCAAAAAGAGCACACGTCACCCCTCTGTTCATTGAGCTCCACTGGCTACCGCTAGCAGCACGCATCAAATTCAAATTGCTAACACTAGCATACAAAGTCCGAGATGGTACGGCTCCCCTCTACCTGAATCCTCTTGCAAAGGCTTACGTCTCGGCCCGGCCGCTCCGGTCATCACAGGATCATCGGCTAGCAGTGCCTACACCACGCTCAGGACAATCCAGACTCTTCTCATGCATCGTTCCACAAATGTGGAATGACCTTCCAAGCACTACCAGAACAGCGGCTTCCTTTTCAATTTTCAAGAAACTCCTGAAGACCCTGCTCTTCAGAGAGCATCTTCTAAACTAGCACCCTCCCTGCACCCGTCCCCCCTCTCTACTGTCCACTCCTTGTTCCCTCCTCTCCATGACTGATGTCAAGTTGTTGTTAGCCTCAAGGGCAACATGCCGATTATCACTTGTAAGTCGCTTTGGACAAACGCGTCTGCTAAATACATAAACATAAACATAACGCCCCTAACTGGAGAAACGCTCACCTCTGAGTAGCAACAGAAGCAGCAGCATCCAGAGCAAACTGCCTCATCACGCTCTCCTCCAAGTACTTCTGCTCCCACTTGGTCATGTCGGCCTCTAGAGCCAGAATCCGTTCCTCCTTCTCCCTTAGATGCTCCATCAGGGCTGTGGCGTTGTACTCAGACGGGACGGCACCGCTGCTCTGAGAGCTTCCCTGACGCTGCGAGGCGAGGAGACAAAAAGGTAAAAGTGGGGTTTTATCTCCCCGTCAAAATGTTTACTGTAGAAACAAAAGCAACAAAGCTTCTGAACAAAACGTTAAAAAGTGTTTGAGTTTTACTAAAATATTAACTGTTATATTTAGAGTTTCCACAGGTGTGGGCCTTGTGGTCTAGTCTTCACTCAAGGAGAGCTGCCACCTCCTAAACCTTTCTGATGCCTGACGTTGTATGATCAGGAAGGAATGAAGCCAAGTACAAGGCAGGAGAGCAGAATCCCCTGCAGCCCAACACCTGGATCACATCAGACGCAGATGCGCGACGATGCGTCGTGAAGCGCTGTGGAACGAAGAGCGCTTCTACTCGGCGCCCTTGTTAACCTACGGTCTCAATCACATCAGCTGTGAAGTGCCGAAGGCTCGCGGCGTGCAGCGATCATTTTGGTGTGTGCTCTTTTTCACGAGCCGTGTGAATTTTGTCAGGAAGTCAAACAGAAGAGGCAGGCCAGTAAATGTAACAAAATAAAGACTTTTTTCTAAATAAAGCACAGCGATTGATAAATGTGATCATTTTTGTGTATCTAAACAGAATAGAGATGAAAATGAACAAAGACACAAACACTCACACACACACACACACACACGCACAGCAAGGGCATGAGGGTGGGGTGGGGGGGGTGGGGGGGGGACGGTAGGCGTGAGCAGAAGCGCTTGTTGAAAAATCTCGCCTGATATAAACAGAGCAGCAGCGGGCAGCACTCAAATTTCGTGAGCGATCCACTTAGTGGCGCTTCGCTGCTGATGTGATCCTGGCTTAAAGTGGCAAAGCCAAAAGAACAGGTGGAGGACTTCCCAGTGCTCCTGCTTTGGAGTGCAGATCAACAATGAACTAGACAGAGAAGACATCTCCAGTCTTACAAGTGTTCTGACACGACTTTAGCGTGACACTCAGGAACGGACAACTCTTTCTGCTGCAAACTCTGGAGATGTGAGATAAGCTGAGGAACGTGTTAGACCAGGTGTGGTGGAGCGTTTATGAACATTGTCTGCTACTTTTACTTAGCTTGTTTTATTTAGCTGCACCCAGATGCATGGTCACCCCCACAACAGGCCTGCTCAATAACTTGTGATGAAGTCGAGGAGCCGTGAGTGCACAACGCTGCCTTACCTGCTGCAGGCGGAGAGATTCCAGCTCTCTTTCCAGTCTTGTTCGCAACCGATGTTCAAGCTGTTCCCTCTTCTCACAAGCTGCCTGCAGCTGAGCCAGAGCCTGCTGCATCCTCTCCACCTTCTCCACGTAAACCTGCTTCTTCTTCAGCTACACACACACACACACACACATTAGAAACACAGCTCTGGACAGTTTGATGGATGAATTATGATCTAATCACTGAGAACAGGACGTTCACACTAGCTGGACGAGGTTTTTCCAGGATTGTACGTTTCAAAGGTGATTAAAATTATGTTTGATTCTGAAAAAAAGAATCAAATCTAATATATATATATATATATATATATATATATATATGTGTGTGTATATATATATAACATACATACATACATACATGCATATACATATATATATTTATATATATAAATTTTAATGTTTAAATTTTATTTTGATGATTATGCGGCACACTTTGACTTCCATATGTAGCGCATCTGCCGCGGTTAGGGTTAGCGGTGTTCTAACCATTATTTGTACATCCACCATGTCCCAAACACGGTGAAACAAACTTCAAACTCAGCGTTTGGAGCTTGTAAGGCAGCACCAGCTGTCTGATGTTGCGAGCTGCAGCAGCGTCAATCTTTCCGGCTGGATGAATGAATTTCGTCATCAGAGAGTCAATATTCTGCTTCCTAACTGGAGTCAATAATGACCAGACAAAGCTATCAGTTAAACACCAGATCAGCCGGCCATTGCAAGTGTTTTCCCTCTAATATTCGCCCTCTTTGTGCTGCACTCTCCTCCTCGTCTCGTCCTCTCCCTGACCGGGAACCCCTCAGTCCTGTCTAACTCCCCGTTGTCCCCTGACTGGCTGACCCACCACTGGAGGACGTTTTTACACAGACGGACTACGTAAAAGAGCACTACCTCCTCCTCCAGCTTGACCACTTTGGCCTGAGCATTGTTGAGGGCCTGGTCTCTGATCTCGATGTGTCTCCTCTGGTCATCTGTGGTGGAGCGGAGGGCATTTAGCTCCATCTCCACCTTCTCTTTCTCACGCAGCGTTTCTTTGTCTGTAGATGTAGAAGAATGGAAACTCAGCATGAAGAGGTAGAGCTGGGCAATATGGAATCATTCATCAGGTTAGGGTGTGTGTGTGTGTGTGCGTGCGTGCGTGCGTGCGTGTGTGTGTGTGTGTGAGTGTGTGTCTGACTCTGTGTCAGCAGCTGGGAGATGGTTTTGCGGTTGTCCTCTGAGCCGTCACACTCTTTTGAGGCGAGCTGCTTGTTGGCCATCTCCATGCGCTCTGTGGAAACGCAGCAGAACAGATTCATGCCACCGCTGCTGTTGTTTAATAGTGACTCAGAATATGGATACAAAATATTAAGAACACAAACTGCAAGAAGAGCACAACTGTGCTGGATAAGCTGCTGTTTGCAGAGCAAAACAAAAGCCGCCCATCATTTCTTCTTTTTTATTTTAGTGTGATCCAAAAACAATAAGTGACTCATTTTTTTGTTATTTGTTTTTGAATCTAAAACACAAAAACAAAGAGGCTTTTCTTTTCACACAGCCAACGTTAAGCGTAGACCCTACTTTCTGAAAATGGCCAAGCCCACCTCCACCCTGAGAACAGCCTTCTGGTGGTTTTAACGGGTGTGTAAAAGCAAACTTCACCATCCTCACTCACAACTTAGCTTCTGGTTTGTGTTTGTTCACATCAGAACAGAAAAACAAGACAGGATTAAAGAAATCAGTAGATTCTGACCCACTTTGGAGGATTCTAACGGACCTTTCTGTAATCTGACTGATAGAAAACGGTAAGGTCCTGTCGATTTATTGGTGTGCGTTTCTGCACTCACCTCGCAGATCTCTGTTAAAGTCGTGCAGACGGCGCACCTCCAGCTCCAACTTGTTCCTCATGGTCTTCTCTAGCGCCTCCCTCTTGGAGGAGGACTTGGCCAGGTTTTCATAGGCCTCCGATACCAGCTGGATCTCCATTTCCAGCTACACACACATCAGAGAAAACAGGCTGTGAGCGTGGCACCATCATATCAACAAACAGGTTTGATTCATTCAGAAGGCGCAGAACAAGACTGAGGAACCACTTATTCCCAAAAGCAGAGAGGCTCATGACCTCTGACCTTTGAAATGTCCTCTTCTCTCTGTCACTACTGGTGTTAAGGAGTTTATTAATGACGTTTTATTTCCTTTTAATCTGCCTGTCTTATGCAGGAACTTTAGGAAGCCTTATCCTCTGGGAACCCGTCTGCATCTTATTTTCAAGTTTGTGGTTAAACTCGAACAGGCTAGTAAGACGTGGTCTGATTGGATTGTGTGTTCAACTAATTCCCACAACTCACTTAAAAAAGTTACAAATGATTGAGGCAGTTTGCAGAAAATATTACCTTGTGCAGCTTTGTGACCTTCTCACGACAAGCCTCCATCTCCTGTCTCAGCATCCTGTTCTCCTCCGTCAGCACATCCACCATCTGTTGAGCCCGGGACATCATGGCGTATGGCTCCCCCTGCATCGGGGCGTAGGGGTGTGACAGGGGGAAGTGTCCTGCCTGGACAGACAACTGGGGCTGAAGAGATGGAGACACCTGGAACTGCTGCTGCTGATGGTGCAACCTTGGGGCAGAGCCATAAGGATCCAAAGAAAAGGTGTGACTCCTCTGTGGGGTCTGATGAGCAGACATGGGGGTGTAAGGCTCCGCCCCTTGATGGGAGCCGGTGACCTGTGAACTACGATGCCCGATGTGGGGAGGAGGCTCTCCTTGACTCTGAGGGTGTTGGTGAGGAATAGAAGGATGAGAGGAATGGGAAGCAGAGAGAATGTTGCAGAGGGTGGAGGACTGAGCGCGGGACAAGGAATCAATGGAGGTGACGGAGGAGGTGGGACTGTGCTGCTGAAGAGGCCTCTGGTAGTGGACAGAACCCTCCTTACTGGACCTGAGGAGAAATCAGCACACCATTCTGTGAGACAGGCTGAAACCACTTCTCATAAAGTGCGCGTGTGCAGCTGGTCCTGGACCAGTAACAGGCTCCCATCATGATTTTCAGCAGTTACTATTTTACTGAATTACACCTGAGAGGAAAAACTTTCTTAAATATGGATCTAAATTTCAAAAACAAAGCTGAAACAGAAACAAACAGCCGTCCAACAGCTTGTGAATTCATGAGAACATATCAGCTGCTGACTGATGGCCTATAAAGGTTTCTCGTTACCCAGGAGACACACAGGGGAGACATCACGATTGGTCGAAGCATCGAGCTCTCCTAAGATCTTCGTAATCTTATCGTTGAAAAGCATTCTGATTGGAATGGTTATTGGAACGTTTCCAGAATGCTGAATGTTCTGTGAGCACCGTGGGGGGGGGGTGTTATCCAGAAATGGAAAGAGCATCGGTTCACCATAAACCGGCCACGATCAGGTGCTCCACATAAGATTCCTTTCTGAGGAGTTCAAAGGAAAATCAGGAGAGTTCTCCGAGAGACGAGGACCACTTGGGCAGAACTTCAGGAAGACCTTAAATCAGCGGGTTCTGTTGTTTCAAAGAAAACTATAAGCAATGCACTGAACCACCTTGGCCTCCATGCACACAGCGAGCGGAGGCTCGACTACATTTTGTGAAACAACATTTGGAGAAGAATGTGGATTACTGGGAAACCATAGTAGGGTCAGATGAGACCAAAATAAAACTTTTAGGCTGTCATTCTACACTCCATGTTTGGAGAAGAAATGGCACTGGCCACCACCCAAAGAACACCATACCAACAGTTAGGTTTGGGGTGGAAGCATCATGGTGTGGGACTGCCCTTTAGCTAGGGGGACTGGCAGACTTCATATTATTGAAGGCAGGATGAATGGAGAAATGTACCGGGACATTCTGGATAAAAACCTGCTGCCATCTACCAGAAGGCTGAAAATGAAAAGAGGGTGGACATTTCAGCAAGACGATGATCCCAAACACAAGGTTGGTTTCAAAGAAAGAAAATCAAGTTGCTTGAATCAGTCACCTGACCTACAGTGAGGAACATAAGTATTTGAACACCTGGCGATTTTGCAAGTTCTCCCACTTAGAAATCATGGAGGGGCCTGAAATTCACATTGTAGGTGCGTTCCCACTGTGTGAGACAGAATGTAAAATAAATCAGGAAATCACATTGTATGATTTGTAAGGAATTTATTTGTTTTGCACTGCTGCACATAAGTATTTGAACGCCTGGCAATCAGCAAGAATTCTGGCTCTCAAAGACCTGTCACTCTGTTTCTAAGAAGTCCACCTCTACTCCACTTAGTAATCTTAATTAGTAGCACCTGCCTGAGCTCTTTAAAGGCACCTATCCACCCCACAGTCAGTCAGGCTCCAACTACTACCATGGGCAAGACCAAGGAGCTGTCAAAAGAAACCAGAGACAAAATCGTGGACCTCCACAAGACTGGAAAGGGCTACGGGGAAATTGAAAAGAAGGCCCAAGCCACCTTCAAGATATAAAGAGTGTTCGTGTGGAAGAATGAGCCAGAATCACTCCTGAGCAATGCATAGGACTGGTCTCTCCATACAAGAGGCATCTAGAAGCTGTAATCACCTTCTCCACTCTTAGTGACATCCTCCCTTCTTCCATCTAAGGAACATGGCTAAGCTGAGCTCCATTCTATCACGCTCTAAACTTGAGATTGTTATCCACTCCTTCATTAGACTACTGCAACTGGCTTTTCACTTGTCTGAGCAAAACCTCCCTGAACCGTTTACAGGTAGCCCAATGCCATCAGTCACTGGGCTTTGGGTTGTGTTGGTCTGACTTTTAGTGAGAAGACAGCATGCGGCTTGTTGAACGTGACGTGTAGCCAATCAGAAAGCGAGGTGAAAGAAGATTGCTGCACGCTACTCCTCCACCATGTTTGTTTACTCAGAAGCGACGCCTCATCTCCTGTCAGAGCGGGAAATGTTCATGTGTGGAATTGGTTCATGTGTAATTTTGCCATGTTGCTGTGCACAACAGACTCACCATCACAAGACCATCACTAGCATATCCAATATAGTTTTATTACCGTGTGCGTCTCCCAAAAGTACTTCGCCCATTTAAAAATCCAACTGCGTGAATTGGGATTTAAGGCCGTGTCAGGTGTAGACAGGTTGTCTGGTGAATGAACAGACCTTAGACCAGAATCTGGGTCCACAACAGACTGATGATCTCTGAGCCTGCATGCATGTGTGTGTGTGTGTGTGTGTGCGTGCGTGTGTGTGTTTGTAGCTCCCTCAGGTCCTCCTGAGTCTCAGAGACATGTTTCCTTTCTGTGTCTGACTTCATAAGTTGTGTTAAACTCTAATACTGTTTAAGTTTTACATCATCTGAGCTGTAAGAAGACACCAGCTCTTAACTGGCTCAAGGAAACCAGCAACATTTAAATTATGTGGGATAGTTTCACTTTTACTCCGACTAATTTGAGACCCCTCTAGTTACCAGCTGATCTTCCTGCTGAAGCTGATCAGCAGCCATAGTTAAAGTGGGTCAGATCTCTGCATAAAGCGGCATTTAATAAGCTGAATTAGATGGTTCCTGGTTGTTTGTCACAGCAGTTTTATTAATAGCCATCAGGTTCCCAACAAGCTGTAGCTGTTGTTTAAAACATGCTTAGTAAAGGTGATATTAGACATCTGTTTGTAGGTGTTATGCCATGCAGCAATAATACAATGCCACAGAAACATGTTTGATCCTGTGTGTCATTGATTTAGTCCTTTAGGGAAAAACCAGCATGTGCAGTTTAACCATTCCTGCCTCCAGTTCCCACAGGTGCGGTCATCAGACGAGCCTTTCATGCTACAACTTGTCCTCCATGATGAATTGATGTTTGTGGAGTTTATAACTGTTAGATTGTGGTTTGCTGTGAGCTAAACGGCAACCGTTAGTATAAAACCAGCCCAACAGGATCTGTCAGACAACTGCTGACAATCCAGGCACAAACACACCAGTGGGTCACAAGTCTTCAGCAAGTGCAATACAGAGTTTAGGCTTTCTGTCTAAATCAGAGTCAAAGGGAGATCTATGCCTCACTCTGCTGCACTCCCAACAGCCCACATATAAATGAGGTCTTATGGCCCATTTCATTAATGGAACTTATGGGTACATTTACCTGACCTTCCCTATACACGTCTTCATTTTGACCGGCAGTCGCTGCATGGGATGCCATTTGGTTGTAACTCAGTAGGAAGTGACTAAACTAAATTACAACGTACTTTCAGACGATAAAACTTTTATGTACCTGCTTCGTTGTAGTCTCTAGCGTACCGAGCCCTTCTGAAATCTCTATGTCAGCAACTGTCAAGTCACTGATTGGTTATTTTATGTTCAACAAAACAGATTTAAAGAACATTTAAGTAAATGGTGTGTGTGTGTGTGTGTGTGTGTGTGTGTGTGTGTGTGTGTGTGTGTGTGTGTGTGTGTGTGTGTGTGTGTGTGTGTGTGTGTGTGTGTGTGTGTGTGTGTGTGTGTGTGTGTGTGTGTGTGTTCCATACCTAAAGGAGCCATACTCAGGTGGGGGCTGGTATCTGACGTTTGGCAGGTCCCTCGAGTGCTCCCTCCCTCTCTGCTCTTGGTAAAAGTGTCCTGCAGCCTCTTGCTGTTTCCCAGGAGAAGCCATTCCTCGGAAAGGGTAGTCTGGTGGAGGGCCGCGTTGCTGAGGCTTGTAGTAGTCACCGGACTGGCCAGGAGAGGGCAGCTGTGGTGAAAGTGGGGCACTGCTGACAGGTGCATGGGCCTTCACACCACTGGTGGCTAAGGAGAGTTGCATGAGCCGCTCACTTAGGGACCTAACATGTCCTTGCTTTAAGTCTTTCAGTCCATCATCCTGGTGAACCTTCCCTGCGCCGCTCACTCGCTGTAGAGTTGGGCGACCCTCAGTACGTACCTTGGCATTGTTCAGACCTGTCACATAGAAGGTAGCACCGATGGAGTTGGGCTGCTGGGGCTGGCTGTTCTGCTGCTGAGGCTGAAGAGGAGGAGGACCATGACCACGGAAGTACTGGGACTGCACTTTGGCCTCCTCATACGTGGGAAGGTCTTCAGGGTTCAGGCACGGGCCTTGGTTGCTACCACCACCTCCACTACTACTGCTGACTCCCACTCCACAAGTCCCCACACAACCTCCTCCTGCAATACTCCCACCTCCTCCTCCAGCTCTGATGGAGCCAATCTTCTCCAGGCCACTATCTGTCTGCAGTTCCTGTCCCTGAGGCTCTTGTCGTGCGATGTGGGCAGTAACAGAGTGATCATCGGAGGGACTTACCTGTCCCTGTACTGAATAACCTCCTCCCCCTGATGCTCCTACTCCCCCACCTCCCACCCCAGATTGTTGTTGTTGCAGAACATAGTTCCGATTCATTTGCTCCTGCAGGAGTCGCTGCAGGACGGTGCTGCCACCACCCGCCACACTGTTGCTGCTGTTGGATGACTCTTCAGCTGCAGCCCTCATCTCCATCTCACGCTGGCGACCAACTTCGTGGAAAGACAAACTTCGTCCTCGGTCGATAGTCCCTAGATTAAAAAATAAGCAACCAAAAATAAGAGAATTGAAGGTGAGATATCTGACAATCATAACATTCAGAAGCAAAGTGATTAAGATCAGAGCCCCAAACTCTTCCCCAAAAAACAAAAAACAAAAACACAAAAGACCTGTTGAAGGGATGAAGCAAAAGAAGAGTGGAAGAAGAACATTTTTTTGCATATTGACCCCCCAAAAGAACCCTGCACCCTCACACCAAGAAAACAAAAACTGTAGCATCTGACAGTTAATCAGACAAAGATCATCTAACTGAACAAAAAAAGTTGGTATTGCTAGCTGCACAAAAATCTAGAGACTAATACATCAGCTAAACCAAAAAAAAAGCTAAAACTCGAATGTGACAGAAAATACTTTCTAGGCTCAAAAAACAAAGGAAACACAAAAAAACTACTAAGTAACTCCAAGTCATTCACACTTCTCAGTTCCTCTGCTTTCTGCATGATGTTTTGGTTGCTGTTGAAAGCCGGTGGGGCTTTCTCTCTAGTGACAGCGTTAGACCGAGTCTACAACCCACACAAGTAGCTCAGGTAGGGCAGCTCATCCAGGATGGAACATCAATGTGGGCTGTGGCGAGAAGGTTTGCTGTGTCTGTCAGCGTAGTGTCCAGGGCATGGAAGCGCTACCAGAAGACAGGCCAACTGTCATCCTATCAGGAGGTTGTAGAAGGGCAACAACCAGCAGCAGGACCGCTACCCCCGCCTTTGTGCAACAGCACTGCCAGAGCCCTGCCAAATGACCTCCAGTGGGCCACAAATGTGCACGTGTCTGCTCAAACAGTGAGAAACAGACTCCATGAGGGTGGTATGAGGGCCCGACATCCACAGGTGGGGGTTGTGTTCACAGCCCAACATCGTGCAGGACGTTTGGCATTTGCCAGAGAACACCAAGATTAGCTAAATCATCACTGGCCCTGTGCTCTTCACAGACGAAAGCAGGTTTACACTGAGTGCATGGGACAGATGTGACAGAGTCTGGAGATGCCGTGGAGAACGTTCTGCTGCCTGCAACATCCTCCAGCATGACCAGTTTGGAAGTGGGTCAGTAATAGTGTGGTTTGGCATTTCTTTTGGGGGCTGCACAGCCCTCCATGTGCTCGTCAGTTAGCCTGACTGCCATTATGTAATGAGATGAGATCCTCAGACCACTTGTGAGACCATATGCTGATGTGGTTGGCCCTGGGTTCCTTCTAATGCAAGACAATGCTGGACCTCACATGGCTGGAGTTTGTCAGCAGTTCCTGCAAGACGAAGGCATTGATGCTTTGGATCGACTCGTCCGTTCCCCGGACCTGAATCCAACTGAGCACATCTGGGACACCACGTCTCGCTCCATCCACCACCGACTGTCCAGGAGTTGGTGGATGCTTTAGTCCAGGTCTGGGAGATCCCTCAGGGGACCATCCACCACCTCATCAGGAGCATGCCCAGGTGCTGTAGGTCCTACAGGCACGTGGAGGCCACACACACACTACCAAGCCTCATTCTGACTTGTTTGAAGGACATTACATCAAAGCTGGATCAGTTTTTTCATTTTAATTTTGAGTGCGACTCCCAATCCAGACCGCCATGGGTTGATAAATTTGATTTCCATTCATCATTTTTGTGTGATTTTGTTTTCAGCACATTCAATTATGTAAAGAACAAAGTATTTAATAAGAATGTTTTGTTAATTCTGATCTAGAATGGCTTATTTTTATGTTTCCTTTGTATTTTGAGCTGTGTATAGTTGAACTATTATTTAAATATTAAACATAATTAAACACTTCGTGTCTTGTTTTTGTCCAACAAAGTTCAAAAAGAGAAATGCCCACGGTTGCAGTCTTGTGTTAGAAGCCATGTTTCAGTAGCATTAAGCTAAAATAACAAGCCTGCTAGGCTGATTGATTCAGTACCAACAAACTGGAAAACAGGCTAATCAAAAGAATTATCAATGAGTTTAACTTCTGTTTAGCCATTTTAGCTAGCACACTGACCATAAAATCCCTACATGTTTAACGGTTTGATGAGAAGCTTCATGTCTGTTATGTTAGCGGTGAAGTTCAAGCAGTTTTTGTGGAAGAAAAGTGTGAATATTTAGTTAACTGTTTTAATTGGACAATTTATCAAAAAAAAGGGCCAAAATGCTAAAATCTGCTACAAAAAGAACATCCAGTCATCAGGCGCTTTACATTAGCAGTCCAGCACCAAAGGAGGCACATAGAAAAACCAGCTGCTGAGGTAAGATAAGCTCGTAAACATTTTAATGGTCAGTGTGTTTCCCTTAGCCCAACAACGCGTTTTAAATCCTCACAGCAGATAAAAGAAAATGTTTCTTAAAGACAGAAGCATGCAATTTCATTTAAACATTCAGCTGTGTCAAACCCTGAAACCACTCAAAATGCATTCGCTTTTCATCTTTAAAGACTTTATCAGAGGCCGTTCAATCACGATTAACGTATTTTCTAAAATGTATCTCAGTTTGGGGAGGGCAGATATATCTGCTCCAGGCGTGTGGTTCCTGAGGACAAAGCTGAATGTTGGTTGTCTCACACCCTTTTCACAGAGGAAGGAAAGACTTCATTACATTTAGAGCTTTCAGTTATTCTTCTCACTCTCAGGGAAGAAGAGGCTTTTTTTCGAGACATCTGTAGGTAAGTAAAATCAGACAGAAAGAAAACTATCAGCTCTGGCAGGATGTCTCCACCTTTCCATCCTGTTGTCCCGAGCATCTTTCAGCTGTAGGAGACAAAGTTAGTGTCCACACTTTTAAACGGCCCTTAGAAAATGTTGGCATGTTGGTGTTGTTGAAAACGCACACGTCCATTTGTGAATCTGGAGCATCTCTAAACTTTATCTTTAAGGAAAAATGTGTCCAATGTCTAAAGTCGGCCCTTCAACCATCAAGTTCACTACGTGGATCACGTCTTGACACGGATTTATTTCAGACTTTGTGATTGCAGCTTTAGCTCTCAGTAGAGCCTAGCTTATGTCTCTGACAGCAGGGGGCCAGAGAGGTCAACACAAATCAACGAAGACAATTTCCTTTTAGACTTCTCCGTTATCTGGAGAGTGTTGCTAAGCAATTCCTCACCTAGACAACGGAGGGCGTAGCGCTTTTCTGAGGGGGTTCTGCCACAGATGCAGACACAAGTCTGGTCCACACAGTTTACATTATTGTGTATAATTTGTCCCTCATTCCACTCCACCTCTTCATGCAGTCTGAACGTCTGAACTCATTTTTCTCGCAATTTCCGCCCTTTATTTTAAAGTCTGCTACTTACGGGTGAACCACAACATATATTCCTAGCCTGGGAAAAAAGAATCACGACATGCTATTTAGATGACCCAAAACACATCACGTGAGTACCGCAACACTGAGTTATTAAAGTTATGAGGGCAATCATGACTGGAATCTCAAAGTATTCACTCAAATCAGCGAGTAAGGAAAAATACATGGTAGTACCAGAGGTATTTTGGCCTCTGCAGGCCCCCGTACTTGTTACCTGGTTATGAGAGGGGGGTTACCCGTCTATCCACATTAGTTTGTTGTTTCTTTGTTAGAAGAATCGGGTATTCTTTAAGGGGAATATCGCTTTAGTAAGGAGCAGTGAAGCCCATCGTTCTGGTTTCTTTGAACTTTATTAAACTCTGCAAATAAACAAACACTGCCAACACCAATCCCTCTGCCACTCATCTCTTAAAAGTCATTCCCTTCACCTTCTGCCTTTTTTAAGCATCCTCTACAAAACACAACAACATTTTATTTTGTACATAAACAGTTGTGTACACTGCCCGGCGAAAACAAAAGTCGCCACCTGGATTTAACTAAGCAATAATAGGTAGGAGCCTCCTATTAGATTTTTACTGCATGGGGGGGGGGGGGGGGGGGGGTCTTTCAGCTGGCAACAAGTTATTCACCCCAACTGGTGCAATGAGTTTCTTCTCATTTCTTAAGACACGTCTGGTGGTAGTGGAAATTATACATATACACATAAATATATGTATATACATATATGTGTGTATATGTATACATGTATATACATATACATGTATACATATATATACATAAACATATATACATACACATATATACATATACATATATATACATATATACATATACACACATATATGTATATACATATATACATATACACACACATATTTACATATACACACATATATATATATATATACACACACATATATATACATACATATATATACATACATATATATATATATATATATACATACATATAAATATATATATATATATATATATATATATATATATGTGTGTATATATATATATATATATATACACACATATATATATATACATACATATATATATATATATATACATATATACATATATATATACATATACATATATACATATATATATATACATATATACATATATATATACATATATATATATATATATGTATATACATATATATATATACATATATGTGGATGACGTTCAGTGGGAGGAGACGGCAGGTGTAGTGATCTGATGGTACACCTGCAGCAGCATGAGAGTGAGTACAGCGAGGAAGTCTGAATAAAAGCCTCATTCGACTTTTGATTTCACATGTCAGAAAAGTTCTGATAGTTTGCATTAAAACAGTATTTTTGCTCAGTATTTGTTCTCAAATTTTCAATAAAAATTGTTTATTTAAAAAGTGGGTTTTTTTTGTCTTTTCCTGAAGATTAGTCTCGGAAAGGGGGTCATCTTATAATCGGGGTCGTCCTATATTCCGGTCAATATGGTATGTGATAGTGGCTCTCTTGTGCGCTCTGGTGGCACAAAATATATTTTAACCAACGAGGCAGAAGGACTTGAAGCAGATAACCAGGAAAAACTAGTTTACCTGGTTAAAACATTAACGCCAATTAACCGTTAACTACGTACATCCCTAAAAACTACAACCATCATTGCATTCTCTCTATGGAATTGATTGAAGGACCATCAAAGTGTGAGGAGTCACGCCGAGGCTGCATGCTTTCTGCTTCACATGCAACATAATTTACCCTAATGTTTTTAAACTAGTACTAGCACAGGTGTAAAACTAGCATGAAATGTAAGAATGTACTGCCCCCTAGTGCCAGGAAACTACACACTGCCACTTTAAGAGGGGGTCCAAATTTTCTTGCATATTTTTATATTTAAAAAATTACGCAAATACCTACTTTTCCTTGTAAATAACTACTTTTATAACAATTTAGCTCGGTTACCAACTCAGTTACTTTGTTGCAGAAATCATTAGTAACTATAAATTATTTTTCCAAGTCACTTTCCCAACAGTGATAATCCATAACAGATTAAGAGTGTAATAACCAGTTGATTGGTCACATCTCAGCTGATGTTTCAGGCCCAGTCAGATTACTTATGTGTCTGCTCCTGAGCTCTGATTTCAGATTAAAATAAAGCCATTAAAGTATGTTGTCACTAAAACCCTCGTGATTTTAAATATGAGGAAACACAGCCAGCTTTAACTTACATAAATTAAAACAAATACAGGAAGATAAAGACAACCGTCTGTTTCTCATCAAAATCTGGTTTGTATCATTTGAATCAAATGTCATTAGGTTGAGCTTTGGTTCATTAGATCACTTTGAGCAGGGATGCTGAGATTTGTTCATCGTGTTAACCTGCAGTGTTGTGTGTTTTCTGTCTATTACGCTGGTGTGTAGGAGCATTTATATTTAGGTCTTGTTGATGTTCGTGTTTGGTGAGATGCTGCGTGTGGAGAGCTGGCACACCTGTCCAGGTAGGTGACGGTGTTGTCCCTGTGCAATCTGCTGAGCATGTCAGACCTTAGAGTAAAATAATACCGGTACAGTTCACCCGTACCAGCACACGTCAACATGCTAACGGTCCCGATCCAACGAAACAAGCTAAATCTGGTTTCCTCGTCGGAACCACCGCTGGAGGCTGGAAGGACACAGGCCGAGCCCCTCTGCCTGTCCCCGGACACCCCACCGCCTCCCACCCGCCCTGTAGGAACCAGGCAGCGAACGACTAACATCGTTTAGTTCTTGTTCTAAACGCAGAAAGCACCGCGACTCTTTAGAACCACGGTTCCACGACCAACAAAGTTCAGAGTTTCTAACAAACAGCAAACCCTCTTCTACCTTTCTGCTGAACTTTTTCCGCTCCTCAACTCAGTCAAACATTTTTCTTCTGCGAGACAGAAGCCATTAACGTCCCTCCTGGAGGAAAGCCGTCCAGTCCTGGAAGTATCTTCAAACTCTCCGAGAAACCAACCGCTCCGCCGCGGCCGCAAGCTCCACTTGCTAAAATCTTGTTTTTAACGCAGATGAAGAAAAGTCAGATGAGAGGAAGTCGGGAGGTTTCCCCCCGCGAGGCCTGGCGCGCGACAGGAATGCCAGCCCCCTCCCCCTCCGCGCGACCTCCTTCTCTTGGAAACTGGAGGAAAAGTCGTTTTTCTTTCTTGGTTTTGTGGAAAGAAATCCCTCCTCCTCCTAATTCACCATTGGATTTACAGAACTGACCCAGAAATGACACAGCTACACAGTGTCACACTTCTCCGGCCATTTTAGGACATTTCTGAGTTTAAATATGAACATTTTATGCTACCGGATATGTTTGGACTGTGGTCAGGGTTTCAGCTTTCAACACCAGAGTTCTGGGAAAACACTTTTAAAGACAAATAACATGAAACACTTCCAGATCTAAACTACTAGTCGTCTTCAGTTAAACCTTTTGTTTACTTTAGCCCCATTCCCACCTGTACCGGGTCGGCCCGGGCCGGGTAGCGTAGGTTGTTTACATATCTGGGTGGCCTGGAATTTTCCCGGGCCAACCAAGGCTCATTCTCGGCCCTCTTCCCGAGGGGTACTGCTTCAGGCCGACCAGGGCCAACACGCCCACTGCTGACAGCAAATTCACACCTTCCATTAGAGCAAGCCTCTGATTGGTGGGTAGAATCAGCCCACATGGGCTTAAGACAAGGATGTGTGGAATCAACCGGGCCAGGCTGGGGCCGACTGGGGCTACCCGGCCCGGGCCGACCCGGTACAGATGGGAATGGCCCATTTGTAAATCTGCTTTAGGGTTAGGTAACGTTTAACTGCCACTTCAACACAAATTCATATTAGAAGAAAGTTTCAGCGTGCTTCATAACATAAATAAAAAGTGAAAAAAGATCTATAATTATTTTAGTAAAAGAGATGTTGATCAGATTCAGCTGAGCAGGGCAGCATGTCCTGCAGACCACTGCTTCCCTCAACATCAGATGGAAATGGTTTAGGTCTGAGAAAGAAGACATCTCTTCATGGCTGCAGTGGAGTTACATCAGTGGTCTGCTGAGGCCAAATGGGAGCAGGGAATTGAACCATCATCTTGCTGGTCTCTGTGAGTAAGAGTAATACTCGGTTGAGGTGGGGTGAAGGGATGAACATCAGAGGCCACATCTGACCAGCATTCAGGATTTGTGTTGTTTAAGGTCAGAAGCACCAGGGAAATCCTTGATGGTATAACCCAATCCAAATCCTAATGAAAACCACTGAGGTCCATGCTGGCCTCTTCTGCAAGAGTTCCAACCCCTGAGCACCATCGCTCCACAGAGAACCTCCCAACAAATATCTCACCTACATAACTTCATGCTAATCCTTAGAGACTGACAGGTGAAGGACACTGAAGGGGAGCAGCACTGTTTTTACTGGGCATAATGCACCGGACAGTGACATACCTCCAGGGTTATCACCAACACGTTTTGAGGTGTTCACCAGAAAGTGCCAACTGACCCCTCCACCAACAATACTCGTAAACAGAAGGCATTGGTGATTCGACAAGGCTGAAACCAGGAAGTGCTACAGAAACCCTGTCCCACTATACAAATCAGTTGCTAGAGTAAATCCACGCAACTTGACTGCCCTCCTCACACATAAAATGAGGACAACACTGGGGACAACAATCTCAATGAGTGGTAGCCAAGGCCACCATCAAGGAATCAGCAATGGAATGCAGGACTTCTACTGGTTTAAATGTTTCAAAAGACAGGGCAAACGAAAAGAGTGGTTTATGATCTATTGATGATTATTTGTTCTATAACTATCAGTGTCACCTCTGTCCTATTTGTGGTTAAAACCAGGCTCACTAACAACACAAGGACACAAACACACCAATGCTGATTCTGACTTTAGAAAGAGTTTGAATATGAACGTATTTCAGACCCAGAATGCAACAAACCCACACCTCGCATGAAGGACTGCCCTCTCCTGTAATCACTGGCCTTGCCCAGCGCAAAAGTTCTGTAACATAGACAAATTTTTCAGATGACTCCATTGGGTAAATTAACATTGTAGATGTTTTAACTTTGTTTCCACTCTTCAGCTATTGCCAACATCCAAAAATCTCTTTTGGGCCATTCCCATCTGTACCGGGTCGGCCCGGGCCGGGTAGCGTAGGTTGTTTACATATCTGGGTGGCCTGGCATTTTTCCGGGCCAACCAAGGCTCATTCTCAGCCCTCTTCTCGAGGGGGTCTGCTTCAGGCCGACCAGGGCCAACACACCCACTGCTGACAGCAAATTCACACCTTTCATTAGAGCAAGCCTCTGATTGGTGGGTAGAATCAGCCCACATGGGCTTAAGACAAGGATGTGTGGAATCAACCGGGCCAGGCTGGGGCCGACTGGGGCTACCCGGCCCGGGCCGACCCGGTGCAGATGGGAATAGCCCATATAAGTACCATGGTGCCCAGTCCAGACAATGTTCAACAGTTTTTTTTACTTGGTTTTACGTTTGATCTTAAATAACCCAAAAGAGAGAATGTCGAACGTAAAATTGATTTATGACTCCACTATCGTAGAACGCTGAATGTATTACACAGAAATGTTGTTTGACTGTAAACAAGCTGAGTGCAGTCTTTCAAGGATGTGATAACTGGAGCTCAATATATTAACAGAGTAAGGTAGGGTTCTACAACCCTCCAAGGCATTTTACCACACACACATCTGCACACTGGTGGTGATGAGCTACATCGTAGCTACAGCTGCCCTGGGGCGCACTGACAGAGGGGAAGCTGCCAAATACAGGTGCCACCAGTGCCTCCAACCATCACCAGCAGTCAAGGAGGGTGAAGTCTCTTGCTCAAGGACACAACTGCAACAGACAAAGCTTGAATTCACAACCCTCCAGTCTCAGGGCGGGCACTAAACTTCTCTGCTACTGCAAGATATTCACGCCCTGTTAACATTTCTTTTGACTAGTTTCTCTAAACTCTTGAACTCTTGTGAGGCTTTGAATTGCTGTACAACGATCAAACAAACACAAAGTACATTCCTCTTTGTTAAAAGTACTTTATTTTTCTTCTCGTCAGACACCTTAGGAATACCAAGACAAGAGTCATCAAAAACTCAACACCTCTGGTGTTAGAAGAGACATGGGTACTTGCAGAAAACCCACATGAGAACACACAAGCTTTACCCAGGGAGACCACAGCTAGGCATTGAACCTGCAACCTTGTGAGGTTCAATGCCTGTGAGGCAGCAGAGCTGCGTACTGCGGCTCCATCAACCCTTTACGTACAACCTCCCCCAAAACTGAATCGAATGAAGAAGAAAAAACAATAATTCTGGTTTCTTTTACATGTTCACTGTTAAAACTATGGATGGTGTGTAGATGTTGGGGAAGCCTTTGGTTAGTTTGACTTGTTTTTACTGAATAATTGTTTAATCGAATAAGTAATAATAAATATAAAAGCAGAAATGGCATCTGTTCTGCTACAGAAAAAACTATTGACACTACCAGTGTACATTATCTTTGATATTTAACAAAACACATAGGTTACGGTCATGAAGTAAATACGGCACGGAGCACACTGGATATGGTTTTATTTCAGCAGTTACAATAAACGTGGTATTTATTTTTGTGTTACCATTTCAAGACTATTGCAGCACCATAAATTCTGTTTATGATGCTACAGAATGAACATATATAAGCTACAGGAAAATATCACATATTAAACACAGCCGTGTGACTGTTTGCAACACTTCATGAAGTCTAGTTTAAGTTAATTTGCACTCCTGTTTCTGGCAGCACAACATTAAAACAGGAGTTCTTCTGTCCAGCTCAGGTAAGCCGATGTGCTGCACGACCTTCGACTGGCTCTGCTCACCCTTCAGCTGGTCAATTTTCTTCACGCTGCGGCAAAGAGACAGAAAAACAATTATCATATTGTTTCTGCTTTTCCAGTCAAGAACCAGGAACTAAAGAGGAAAAGTTGTTCTCCCAAACCACAGCTGTGGATTAGATGTGGCTCTACTTTGTGCTTAGTGTTGAATGTGTAACAGCTGTCACCTCTTCTCCTCCTCTCACTAACCCATTCCTGTAGGCAGCAGCAAAAAAAGTTGATTTCGATGTCTCCCTATGGTATACACCCCTCCACAGATTCCTCAGAAGCACTTATCTCAATACGCAAATCCTGATTGACTGTGATGCACACATCACATGCTACTAGAAGCAGCAAGCGTCCCAATGCATGCATCATTCCACCAACTCTTCTCGCTTTAGCGGTAGCTTATCGATACCAGGCTCAACAATCCCCTGGCCCACCATCGTCATTGAAGTTGTTAGATCCTGTTACAAGGGAAAGAAACTGCTTCGGGCCACGAGGGTGGCAAAACCTCTCCTGCCCGTTTTCCTGGAAGAGAAATGAGGCTAAAGCATCCTGGGTCCAATACCCTTTCAGCTCCTGGTCTCCTGTCCAAGTCACTGAGAAACTGCATGCATGCAGTTTGTTGTTTTGCTGCTAATACAGTAGCAGGTGCAGCTGCATGTTTATGCAATAAAAATGTTATGTTGTAATGGAATTCGTGCATTAGTTTTTGTTTGCTTTGAACCCAGAGCAGACGTCACACGGCAGACGACATCAACACTGCATGCTTTAGTATTTGTTCATTTATCGCGAGTAATATCGATATCGCAATATTAAGCACTGTTATCGAATATCGCAGGTTTTCCTAATACTGTGCAGCCCTAGTGGTAACAGTGTTGTGTTGAGATGTGTTTCCCTGTTTAAAGGGTCTCCTCCACATGCTGCCAGCTGAGTCTCCATGACTACTCATGATGACTACTGATGATTAAATCCTACCATAAACAGCATTTGTTGCTACATCACTGAGTAAAGACTAGCGTATGAAAGGATGGAGGTCTTAATTACATTACACAGCTCTCGAGCTCAAAAAGGTGAAAGAATGTTGGTCTTACCCCTCCTGTGGTCTGTGGAACAGTGGAACCAAGCACAACTGCTGACTCTTTCTCCAACTCTGTTAGTGACTCTGCCTGCAGAAACAGGACTGACATATGAACTCATACCGACTGAAATACATGTTGTGATGCAATGTTTTTAGATGTGTTTGGGTTTTTAGGTGAAGCTACTGCCTTACAGATCTAGTCAGAGATAAAAGGAGCATGTTTGCTAAGAGGCATCCTAATTATGAACGGAGTGTGAGAAAACACAACAGATGGTTCTTGTAAGTGTTGTTTGTCTTTCCATATCCTTATGGTTGTAAAACTTCACCTGCTGGGAGTCAAATGTTAATTCAACACTGAATTGGTCAGATGGTTTATTTTGTTCAGTTTAAGAATCAGTGACAGTAAAATAGATCCGAACTGCTTTATGGTTCACTCTGGCCTCTAAAACACCAAAACTCTTACATTTATAATTAAATGTTAAATATCTGTTGTTTATCCAACATCAGTCTAGTGGACCTAACTAGGTAACAGGCTTGGGCATCCGACAGAAAAGATTAAGATCTGAATAAGTTGTGTTTTTTTACCAACACAAACAAGTTAGAAGAGATCTGCTGCGGTACAATCCTCACTTCAACAGCTTTCACGTTTGTACCTCCAGATCTGACGCTTGCTGACAGTGCTGGACCAGCTCCATGACTTTGCTGAAGTTGCTCCTGATGGACTCCATGGAATCCTGCTGTGCTTCAGCGATGTCTTTCACCTGAGACTTCAGCAGCAGGTGTTTAGCCTTGATGGCCTTCAGGTTCTCCAGCATCACCGCCACATTTTCCTGCAGGTTAACGGTCATCAGCCTACATTCAGACACTGATTCAGTCAGTTTAAAAATACATCTAAAGGAAGATTTCAGAATCAAAGTCCTTTTGATTTAACCAACAGCTGTCTTCATGCTTGTGACAAGTGGCATTTAATGGACAAGTGCAAATTATAATGATTTACATGAGCTAGGGCAGGGGTGGGCAACTCCGATCCTCAAGGGCCACTATCCAGCATGTTTTAATTGTGTCCCTGTTCCAACACACTAAATTTGATTGTTGTGCCACCTGTTCAGCAGGTCATCACGCTATGTAGAAGCCTGCTGATTAAAAGCAGGAAAACAACAAAAACATGCTGGACAGCAACCCTCAGGGACCAGGAATGCCCACCGAGGGTCTTAAGAGTTGGCAGGTACACCCCCACCCTCGTTTCTGCAAAAACACAAAATACAGAAAAACAAACTAATAGTCAAAACTGTCCATGTGTGTGTGTGTGTGTGTGTGTGTGTGTGTGTGTGTGTGTGTGTGTGTGTGTGTGTGTGTGTGTGTGTGTGTGTGTGTGTGTGAGTAGTGGTGTTCTCCACTGCTTCTGCAGGATGAAGCTAACAATAACAATAGCTGATGATGTCACTCTGAGGCATTGATCCATCCATCCTTCCATGTGGGGGTGACGGTGGCACAGGAGTTAAGTGCTCGCCCCATAATCGGAGGGTTGCAGGTTCGAGCCTTGCTCAGTTTGTCACTGTTGTTGTATCCTTGGGCAAGACACTTAACCCCCCTTGCCTGCTGGTGGTGGTCAGAGGGACCACCTCATCTGGCTCCTCTCGATGTGGAGGAGCAGCGGGTCTATTCCGAGCCCCTCCCGGATGACTGAGCGTCTCACCCTATCTCTAAGGGAGAGCCCATTGAGAGGCATCGATGTAATAATTAATGTTTCGGACTATAATGAAGTTCTATCTGCATTCATATCTGCAATGTTCATGCTCACTGGTGTTGAGCAGCAGCTGATGGATTCAGGCTGATGCCACTTTAGACTGAATGATTAATAGCTGTCATTACCTCAGTCGAACATCCATTTGCTGCCTCGCCGTTAATAAAATCAAGCTTCAGTCGCCTCTCAATGTATTCCAGATCAGCCTCTGACTTCAGGAACTGGAAAGAGATAGTCTAAAGTCAGTGTAAGTTGGACTGAACTCATACATCAGCTGGGCTGCCCCAATAACCAGAGATCTAAGGAAATTAAACATTACCGTGAAAATAAGTGATCTTTAGACAGAAAATTACACACATTTTGAAAACCTGGTGTGTGTGTGTGTGCGGCAGGCGGAGCTCACTAAACCATAACTTTACATTTTTGATCAGTTAGCAGAAAGGTTGTTTGAGAACAAACAGGCGCAGTCAAAGGCAGTTTTCAGACCAACTGTACTCCAACACTCGGATTAGTGTTGGTTAGGTTTTTATTCCCACTGGACACCAAAGATGTTTCCACACTAACCATTTAAATGTGATGATCTAGCTTCAAACCTGGAGTAAATTTGGGTTTATTAATTGCTAATAATATATTGTATAACACTTCTATTTCTGGTTTTTACATTCATCTACCATCTGTCTCGTTTGTGTGGACATGAATATGCTCACTGGTGTACTTTTGCAGTTCCTAGTGACGTTAAACCACATTTTCTCTCGTTATAGAAACTAGAGCTCTCACAACCTCACGTGTTCCTTTGGATTCATGTGTTTTATAAACAATCTGTCGTTCTTGAGGTCAGAGAAGCTATCTGATGTGGACACCGACTGCACGTAAAACCTCGTCTTTCGCTCTAAACAGGAGTTTGTCGTTTCTGTTACTGATCTCCAGCTGAGTTTCTGTAGAACAGCTCATCAGGAACAAGCTCAGCTCGCAAAAACATCTCCAACAAAGCAGAAAGTGTTAACCAGAGCTTACCATCGCCTCCAGCTTTTCAACTGTCGTCTCCATGTTGATTCGCTTTGAGCCGAGCGTGCTACGAGCTCTGTGATTGGCCAGTTATCAGAAGTGGCGGACGCTGATTGGATAGATGCCTGCTGAGACGTTCAATAGTGTGGGAAAACTTTTGATTCTCTGTGTCTTGAAGAGAAATTTGATCAGAAACTTTTTTTCTCAAACATATTCTTTAATGTTTTCATGTTCTTGACTATCTGCAAAAAGTGTTGATGCTGAATGTTTACGGCCATCAGCTGATTATTTGTTATAAACAAAACTATCAATGTTGTTGCTCAAACATCAGCATATCCCAGTGTCTTGATAGGCTGTTTGAACTGCAAACTGGGAAAACTGGGATTTTAAACGGGAATACTGTAGGAAGTTGGCCTGCTTTCAAGCTCAAAGTGATCAAAACACATGTAGACAAATATAGTTGTGTGATGATTACTATTACTATTATTTTAATACTTGGACTGAAACAGTCTGAATAAAAATCCACTAAGAGAAAATTAAGATATTCATACAAAAGGCATTTTGTCACATGTTAAACTTTTATTCATGTAATGTTTTACAAATGGAAATTATTCTGAACTTTTCACAAATCACCTTATAAATAATAGACAATCTATACAGATGTTTATGATAGTGTAACTTAGAAAAAACAATGATTTTTAATAGCAGACAGAATGATCTAAATAATACAACAAACACACAAACCCTGCACTAGAAAAGTCATGCTGAGCCACATATAAAAAGCAGTCCTGTACAGAGGAGACCAACACTTGTCCTGGCGTTCCACCTAACAACACATCATCTACTGGTCAGTGGTTAACTTCATCAACAGTCTGAGGAAGTTCCAGCTTCTCACACTCCGTCAGCTTCAGGGTTAGGTGTTGAGCGATCTCATTGGGATCTGTGTAGAGTGCCGCTGGAACATTCTGTGAAGGACAATCCATTTTTAAAGGGCTACAACAATAAATCTGCATTGTTAGAAATTCTCTAGAAGATAATTTTGGTAGGATTGATGTGAATTCATTTGGAGAAAGTAGAACTTTGGTTTTCTTATTTGCTGCTTGTCATCAAACATCCAGCTCCTGCGGGGGGGTGGGGGGGGGGGGGGGGTTGAATGTGAAGAACATGGGATGAGGATCATCACCTTCCGATCAAAGGCTGTGGTTCTTGACCAGAAAAAAGTGGATTGCCAGCACTGGGTTGGGGGAGAGGTCCTACCTCTAATGGAAGTTCAAGGGTTTTGTTATGGAGGGAGGGAGAAGGAGATCAACAGGTAGATCGGGTTGCTGAGCTTAGCCTGAGAGATAGGGGGAGGAGCTCCAACGTCCAAGAGGGAGCTGCTGCTGCTCCTCTTGATCATCCACCATGTTATCTATATTTGTTATATTTGTGTAAAAGAGTGACAAAGACTTGATTTGATCAAGAGGAGCCAGCTGAGGCAGTCCAGGTATTGGGTGAGGATGCTCCTGAACGCCTCCCTGGGGAGGTGTTTTAGGCATGGAGGCCCCTGGGTCGACCCAGGCCAGGTGCATCTACGCTGGCCTGGGAATGACCCAGACCTGGATAAGCAGACGACACAAACTTTTAAAAAATAAAAAGTAAAAGATGGATTTGAGGTTTTGGGCATTTTTGTTAGAAACTCGAGCTCTAAAGGAGAACGTCTGACTCTATGATGAGAGGAGAAGCGGTCCAACTCAAGAGTAAACTGAAACAACCGGTATCAGCTCAGATTCAGACCAACCTTCAATTCTGCTACTTTACTTTCTCTGGTGCTGAACTCCCGGAGCATGTAATCCCTCCCATTCTGGAATCAGAAGAGGCAGATGTCCCTCGTGAGACACTGTAGGTTTTTAATTAGCGTTGCTAACATCAACAGTAAATCTTCTCTGTGAAACAGTAAACTAACAACACCTGAAAGTATTTCGGCTGTGATAAATAAACCATCATGTAGAAAGTTGATTTAATACAACAAGGGCAGACTTGTTGGTACCCTAGTCAGAATGTTAGTCAGCTTGTTTAATGGAACCAAAGTGCTGCTGGGTACGCTGGTGTGGACCACACCGAGTCTGGTCTAGACTAAACAAAGACCTTCTGGTGCAAAGTCTGCTCAGCGTCAAATCCTGGGTCCTCCAACGGGAAAACAGAATCACCAGGGACGGCTGAGAGTGCCCTGGCCCGATGAGAAGGGTACCGACACGTGTCAGTAGTCAGGTACAGGTACAACAGGAAGTGCAGCCACTTGCCTCATAATAGAGTCGAGTGTCATTTATTCTAATCAGCACTCCATCCACCCGTAGGAAGAAACGCAGCAGCAGGAAGAAGCTGGTGGGCATCACTCTCTACGGCACAAGAACCCAAACAAGTTAGAGACAAACACAACTAGTGGTCCAGATTCATCCTAACACACACACACACACACACACACACACACACACACACACACACACACACACACACACACACACACACACACACACACACACAGTGAGCTGGGGGTCCTCCTGCTTTATTACATATTTAGGGTGGATGAAACCTGTTTTTGTGTTGCACAACAAACAATAATGGTGATAAAAGTGAGTTGGGTCATCAGAGGATCTGAGGTTTGTTGGGAGGAGGTGATCACCTTTAGAGGATTCGTATCTTACTGCCTGCTGGTTTATGCTCAGACGGAACAGTCAGCTGACTCACTGACTTTACTCATCCATTAGCTTTTGATCTCTTTAAAAGAAAAAACGAGTAGTGATGGCATCCCTCCGACCCAGAAGTTTTAACGGTTGTGGAACCGAACCACTGAAAAGTCTTTGATTTCATTCATGATAACTCACTCCCGACCGGTGAAACCATTAAGATTTCTACTCGGTTCTTCCTACAGCCCGGCCTCCTCTCAAGCAGCGCCCGCTCAGCGAAGGAACTTACGATTTTGACACTAATCATTGAGACTCCGTGGTCATGAAGCTCATCCTCAAACAGCAACACCTCATCGAAGAACATGATGTGTTCCCGAGCTTTCAGCTTCTCCATGTCAATGCGCTCCGTGGTCTTGCCCACCTGGACACACACACACACACACACACACACACACACACACACACACACACACACACACACACACACACACACACACACACACACACACACACACACACACACACACACACACACAGGAGGGGATGAAATCCACTCCCCACACACTCAGCACCACCACTGATCAGATACTGGACCCACCTTTATCTGCAGACCTTCTCCCATCAGAGTGCCTCTGTAGTCGGTGGTGTACGTCCAGTCAAAAGGCTTCAGCACCTCTTTGGAGATTTCAGAATCAGCTCTGAAACGACAAGCTGACTTTCAACCCTTCAGATAAAAGCATCAGTTGTGTTTAGTAGCTAAAGGGCTCCTTCTGAGGTTGGTTCAGAAGGTAAAGTACGACATTTTTAACCTTAACACAGCATTGGGGGGGTACACACAGAGCGACAGTCAGTGTTAGCTAGTCTTGCCTGCTCTCTTGCCACTCTTGAGCACAGGCCACCTTTACAGAGTCCTCCATGTTGTTGACTCTCCTGAGAGCGTCTAGAGCGTTGAATTCAATGCCATATCCCTCTGTGTGTTGGATGCGCAGAACGTTGTCCCCAAACAACATCTCTGGGAGAGAAGGCATGTTCAGCTCCTCCCCTAACCTGGAGGAGACAGTAACCTGTTTGTTTAGCTAGCCTCTGGTCCTGCTTTCAACAGAAAAGTCTTCAGTCATCCAAAAGGAAACTGTTCTTAATACTGGTGAAACTGCAGGCAGGAAGCAGAATGTCAAATTAAAAGCCTTTCACCGTTCAATGTCTTTGGATTTCATGATATGAGTTTTGGCCACAGTCACGTTCCATGAGCCAAAGGTGAAGTTCTTTTTACTGCTCTTGAAGCCGTGTGACATCATCATGGATAAGAGGGAAGGTGGACAACACTACCTGCTAACACAAAGAGTTCACAAATCAACACAAGAACTCTAAATAAAAGCTGCTTTGTTGAAGCAACGCCAGTCTAGCAGGTGGCACTGTTCAACAAGACCCAAACATATCCAGACTCAGGTTTATGATTCATTGGTTTGTTTTTGGTTTAAAAATGAATTTCTGTTAAAATGGTAGAAATCCATTTAGCTCTCAAGTTTGGTGTTTTTATTTTGTCTTTTTGAGACAGTTTTAAGTGTGTTTTTGTGTAAAGGCCACAGATGACGCTCATCGTATCCACAGCATTACCGTGACCCATTATTAACATCCAGCAGGACTGATGAGATAACAGCTAGTTCAAACACAGCCAAGGCCTCAATGAGATGCTGTCACCTTAGAAGAGCATCAGTCTCCATAAGGTCTTGTTACTCTATGAAACATTACCGTAACCCACTAGCCATTTTTAGCACTGCACAGCTAGATCAGCAGAAATGTTAAGAAGCTCCACCTGAACTCCCAGACATGTAACTACCTAGTGCCCAAGTAAATAGGAAGACCCCTAAAAACTCGTTATTTATTACATTTAATAGTTATTATTTATTAATGATCAGTTTGTTACCTCAGCTGATCCTAAGGCTGTATCGATGCTAGTCCAAAAGGTTTGCCTGGACACACGAGGAAAGCATGATTATCCATCTGTCAAGCCTAAATTATTCTCGATTCAATTTTAATTAAAATGACTCAAGTATAATTATGCAGTACACTCCGTCTCGCGCGCGTGTGTGTGTATTCCGCATAGGAACACTGTTCAAACAGGTTAAGCTGGTAAAATATCTTCTTGACATAAAAACCCAAATATTCTGTGACTGCCTGCCCTCTCGCTAACATGCTAAGCGCGATTCTGCAACCGTTTGAAATAAGATGTAAACAACGCGATGCTAACCTCAGATATTTTTCTGGAACATGTCTGACTGTTTCTGGGCGTCCTTAGCTGCAATCTACCGCCTCCCTCCCGACACTGCCCTTAACACTACAGTCTGAATGCGACTCAAAAAGATTATACAACAAGAAAGATCTGTCTCGTTCTTCTGTGTTACCTTGTTAGCTGGGTAGGTCCGTCGGTAAAATGTGTCCTTTCTGTTTCCGCTTCCGGTTTGTCTTCCAATAAGACTCAACTCTACCGTTTCCTACCTTCACCTGAAACGAGGAGCTAAAAACAACAAAATAATAACAACAACATTATTATTATTATTAATTATTATTTTTAATTATTATTATTATTATTATTATTATTAGTAGTAGTAGTAGTAGTAGTAGTAGTAGTTGTTGTTGTTGTTTATTTATTTGTTTTTATGTTAAAACCACAATAATAGTTTATTCATCAAATGGTTTCAGGAATGTCTGCTTAACTTATTTCTTGCTATGAAAACAAGTTTGTTACCATGATGAAATCATGACTGCAGGAGGTCCATAACTGATAGCCAGCTGGCTTTTTTCACACTTCGTTAGTCAAATTTGCGGATGAATCAATTATTACTTATTTTATAAAGAAGATCAACCAGAGCACATCTCAGATGATGCAGGTTCAGCTGCAGCTCAGCAGATGGAGCCACACAGCAGATATGGATATTGGAAAAGTCTGAAAGTTTCATGACAAATAATCCATCCCAGGGGCGCAGATAGGATTTTCAAACTGGGGGGGGGACGACGACGACAAAGTTCCAGTGTCCCCAAACACACACACACACACACACACACACACACACACACACACACACACACACACACACACACACACACACACGCACACACACACACGTACACATACACAAACTAAAAACTACTGCTTCTACTGTCATCTCCCACCTCGATTACTGCAATGCCCTTCTAACTGATCTTCCAGCCTGTACTGTGAGACCTCTTCAAATGGTCCAGAACGCAGTGGCGCGTCTGGTCTTCAATCAGCCAAAAAGAGCACACGTCACCCCTCTGTTCATTGAGCTCCACTGGCTACCGCTAGCAGCACGTATCAAATTCAAATTGCTAACACTAGCATACAAAGTCCGAGATGGTACGGCTCCCATCTACCTGAATCCTCTTGCAAAGGCTTACGTCTCGGCCCGGCCGCTCCGGTCATCACAGGATCGTGGGCTAGCAGTGCCTACACCACGCTCAGGACAATCCAGACTTTTGTCATGCCTTGTTCCACAAATGTGGAATGACCTTCCAAGCACTACCAGAACAGGGGCTTCCTTTTCAATTTTCAAGAAACTCCTGAAGACCCTGCTCTTCAGAGAGCATCTTCTTAACTAGCACCCTGCCTTCACCCGTCCCCCCTCTCTACTGTCCACTCCTTGTTCCCTCCTCTCCATGACTGATGTCAATGTTGTTGTTGTTATTGTTGTTGTTAGCCTCAAGGGCAACATGCCAGTTATCACTTGTTAGTCACTTTGGACAAAAGTGTCTGCTATACATAAACATAAACTATTGCAAGCGCCTTAACCAGAGCTCAGTCAGTTTGTGTAATTTCATCCAATGGTTTACGTAAAAACTAACACTTTTAAATACATGTTTGAAGCCATTATGCAGTGGAACGCTGGCAACAAAGCTCTGCCTGATCAACACTATAAATGATGAATGATAAATGACCCACACTTGTACAGAGCCTTTCAGAGTAAGGACTCCAAAGCGCTTTACAATACAGTGTATCATTCATCCATTCACACACATTCACACACTGATGGTGATGAGCTACGATGTAGCCACAGCTGCCCTGGGACACGCTGACAGAGGCGCCCCACTATTTCATTTGTTATTCTCCCAATCAATTAGGCAACTAACCAAAACCTCATGCTTTATGCAAGACATTAAATGATTTTCAGCATACCAATCTTTACAGAAAACATAAAAGCCCTAAAAAACTGCTCATAAAATATATTTAAAAAACTAAATTCACTTATCACTTAGAGCAGTGGTTCCCAAACTTTTCAGCCTGAACAACAAATGTTCCTTCGTATTTTTACGTTATTTAGAAATTTTCATAATATTTGGAAAGTTTTTATTTACATATAAATATATAAATCTCTTTTAAAATTTTATATTTTACTTTATTTTATGATTATGTGGCACACTTTGACTTCCATACATAGCGCATCGGCATCTGCCTCTTTTTATGGCTTTTTTTTTACATTGTCGCTACGTCTGTCATGTTAGCGGTGTTTTCATTTCTACATCCATCCCGTCCAAAAGAAGGTTAAACCAACATCAAACCCAACATTTGGAGCTTGTAAGCTCCACACACCTCTTGTGCAGCACCAGCTGTCTGATGCTGCAGCAGCGTCAATCTTCCCGGCTGGATGAGTGAATTTCTTCATCAGAGTCAATATTCTGCTTCATAATCAGAGTCAGTCATTACCAGACAAAGTGATCAGTCAACAAAGACCAGATCTGCCAGCAATTATACGTTTTATCTAATATTTGCGCTCTACATGCTGCACGCATCGCCTCCTCTCCCCGACTGGAAGCCTCTCGGCGGGGGGCATTTTTCAAGCTCTAAAAACTCCTAAACTTTGCTCAGCCTGAAGGTTACACATCTCCACTATCTTCTGGTATAAAGTAGTAACTTCATGAGGGATCATATTTGTAGATGAAACTTGTGAAAGTCAGCAATGAGGCTTCTGCGCTTATAACGGGTAAGTCCCAACACTGACAATAACGTACTGAAACTAGAACCAACATGCATAAACAGACAGATCGGTCCCGTCTACTTACACTGTTGGTCTTTTTTAAATTTGCAGTAATCTTTGCTTGCCTTTTTCTCTTCATCCTGCATCCTAGCAGCAACCACTTTGGCGCCTCTGGAGTCGGTGTTTGTTTACATCATGCTGCATTCAATGTAATTGGAAAAAGGAGCTTCAAGTGCTTAACCTCCGATTTTGTTTTCTTTCTGGCCTTAGTTGGGGGGGGGGGGGGGGGGGGGCAGATTGGGTCGATCTGAATCTGGGGGGGGGGCAGATCCCCCCCGTCCCCCACCCTATCTGCGCGCCCGATCCATCCATCCATTCAATTTTGGCCGCTAATCTGTCGCAAGGGCAGTAGCCACCTAAATTCATACTTCTCCGTCTGCGTCAGTGACACCCAACTTCATGATCCGTCCTTGCCGGCCTGCTGGAGAGCTCCGCTAGGACGGACGGAGTCAAGCTCTCTTTTCTAAACATCCGTCCACCAAGATGGTCAAGACAGACAACGCAAGCTTGTGATTCGTCAGGACGCCGCTGTCGTCTACACCGCCGCCATTGCGCCCTCAAACACGTAACGAGAGCCGAGGATAACTAGCAGCAGACATGGAGCAGTTTGAAGAATACCTCGCAAAAAAACTCTAAATACATGGACGTTTAATTGCCCCTGACTGGAGGAGTGAAAAGATGCGCAGAAAGCGTTTTATTTGTAGATGGAAATGACAGGAAACGTGGGTTTAGAGGTGGCGAGCCCATGAAGAGGTGGAGGAGGATGAGAGACAAATTTGTCTGTTAAAAAGTCTCTTATATAGAAAAAAAGAACACAATATAAACACACTATCTTGGACCGATGCATGACAGGATACCACAGAACAGTGCTACGCCCTCTGTTGTCCTGCCGGGGAATTGCTTTGCAGCACTCCCCAGGAGATGGAGAAGTATGAGGGCAAAACACCTCCGTCCATGCATGCGTGTCTGTCCCTTTTGGAGCTGACGGAGAAGCATGAATCAGGCTTAAGCAGGAAGGCCCGGACTTCCCCGTCACCAGCCAGTTAGACCAGCTCCTCTAGGGAATTCCAAAGGCGTTCCCTGACCAGCCGTGAGACATAGTCTCTCAAGCGTGTCCTGGGTCTTCCTTTAGGCCAGGGGTGTCAAACATGCGGCCCGCGGGCCGAATCCGGCCCGCAAGCGGGTTAAATCCGGCCCTCGAGATGGTTGTGTAAACTTTATTTTCATACTTTACAATGTAGAGTGAAAATAAACTTATCTTTGTGAGCAAGTTTCCTCTGTAATGAGTATAAATAAAACAAAGCTGCGCTCAAGGCTCACACAAGAACTTGAATCACATCCTGAAGTTAGCTGCCACTCAGGATGTGACTTCTGATATTGATGTGCTGGTGAAAGCTAAAAGATGTTAAGTAAAATGAGTCAAATATATTTGAAGTGCTGCATGAAACTGATCTAGCCATGTGATCTGTAAGCTCTTTGAATCACTAAGGAATGTTTTATTTATTTATTGATTTTTTATTTTTTTCACATTTTCATGTACACTTCAGGTGTTGTACTATTTTGGATACACTGTCCTCAGGCTCCAGCCTTGTTTTATATTGATTGTATTAAATAAAAGAAAACAATCTGAAGTTGTTTTTAATTTAGCGGGCCGGCCCACTTGGGACTAGATTTCTCGCAATGTGGCCCCTGAGCTAAAATGAGTTTGACACCCCTGCTTTAGGCATTCTCTTGGCTGGACGTGCCCAGAAAACCTCCCCAGGGAGGCGTCCAGTAGGCATCCTTGCAGATGGCTGAAATAACATCATCATCCTCTCATCACCAGCTGAGGTCGGGTCGTGGGGCCAACAGTCAAGCAGAGAGACCCAGACTCTCCCCAGCTGCTTGGGCAAGCTCCTCTGGGGGAATCCCTAGGAGTCCCCAGGCCAGCTGAGAAACATAGTCCCTCGAGTGTGTCCTGAGTGTTCCTCCTGATTGGATGGACCCAGAAAACCTTGGGAGGCGCCCAGGAGAAATCCTAACTGGATGACCTTGCCACCTAAACTGGCTCCTCTTGATGTGGAGGAGCAGCGGATCTACTCCAAACCCTAGATGACTGAGATGTTCACCCCATCTCTAAGAAAGAGCCCACACACCCTGCGGAGAAAGTAGATTTCAGCCACTTGCGTCTGATCTCATTCTTTCGGTCACTACCCAAAGCTTGCGACTGTAGGTGAGGGTAGGAACGTAGATCTACCAGAACTTCACTGTTCGGCTCAGCTCTCTCTTCACCATGACAGACCGGTACAATGCCCGCATTACTGCAGCCGCAGCATTAATTCGCCTGTCAATATTTGGCTTCATCTTCTCCTCACACCTGAACAATACCCTGAGATACAGCTCAGTGACCTAGTGGTAGAGTGTCTGCCCTGAGACTGGGAGATCAGGATTTGATTCCTGGTCAGGTCATACCAGAGACTTTGAAAAAAATGGGACCCAATGCCTCCCTGGTTGACACTCAGTATTAAGGGGTTGGATTGGGGGGTTAAACCACCAAATGTTTCCTGAGCGTTGCTGTCACCAGCACACTGCCCCCCCCCCCCCCCCCCCCCCAAGGGGATGGGTCACATGCGGACAACACATTTTGCACACACATCAGTGTGTGTGACAACTGATGGGACTTCAACTTTTTAACTTTAAACTCCTCCACTTGAGGCAGGACCTCATCCCTGAATTGGAGAAGGTATTGCCTTTTCCAACAATGGACTCGGATTTAGAGGATCTGATTCCCATCCCAGCTGCTTCACGCTCTGCTGTGAACCCTTCCAGCAACAGCTGGAGAGCACGGCCTGATAAAGCCAACAGGACCACATCATCTGCAAACATCAGAGGCATGATCCTTAGCAACCAAAACAGATCCCTTCAACACCTTGGCTGCGCCTAGAAATCATGTCCATGAAAGTTATGAACAGAATGGGTGACAAATTACAGCCTTGGCAGAGTCCAACTCTCACGGGTACCAAGCCAAACTTGCTGGCAATGCAGACTTGCCTGTATCAAAGGCCTGGTACCCCATACTCCTAGAGTACCCCCCACAGGGCCCTTCGAGGGACACAGTCGAACGCCTTCTCCAAATCCACTAAACATATGTAGACTGGTTGGGCTAACTCCCACACACCCTCCAGGGCCCCCCTAAGGGTATAGAGCTGGTGCAGTGTTCTATGGCCAGGACAAAATCTACATTACTCATATTGTGTCTACCTCACCCTTTTGGAAGACCCTCTTCGCGGATCCAGAGGTCAGGAAGGCCGGATGACCTCTGGGCACCAAGGTTTGTAGAATATTCGCAGCACCGACTCTCCAGTCCAGAGATGTTTCCAGAGTCACAACAGATAGATGAAATTGTTTGCGTCTAGAAGGACTCTTAGGGAGTTAGAACAGTATCAGCTTTGTTCTGCAGGAACCGTTTGCTGTGTCAGCTTCAGCGTGTAGCAGGGTTTTTGACAGTGTCACACCCTGTCCTGTCTCCCCTTATGGTTTAGTCATGTGTCTCTGTTAATTGCTCCCACCTGCCTCTCGTTTTCCAATCACCCAAGTTCCCAACCCTCTTGTATTTAAACCCCTTCAGTTCTTTGTCTCGTGTTGGATCATTGTTTCTGTGTCAGCGTGTTTATCATTAAAGCCTGTAACCGTTCCTGTCTGCCTGCCTTCTTTACCCGTGTTTGGATCCTTACCTCCGCTTCGTACTCCAGCCCGTCTGACAGACAGCTTGTCAAAAGCTCTGGGTTAAAGAGGTTTAGCTCCGGATGGCTGTTCCGTAGCTTTCTCTAGAACTGACTCACGGTGAAGTGAGCTCTGTTTTAATATTCTCATATTATGATTTTTTGTCCAATCGGAACGTGCCATGTTAAGGGGTGTTAACAAGCAAACCTCACATCACGCCTTCTTTCAGATACAGGATGCTCTGATTTGGGGTAAGGAAATATGTGTCATGACGTTTAACTTAACTTTAATTTATCTCTAATGAACCTTGTGTCTGAGTGTAGATGATGATTACCTTGTCATATCAAACATTACCGATTATCATATATAAATCTTTCAATGAAATAATAACATTCATTTCAAACTTCAGTGATTCAAGCACAGATTAACCAACCTTATTGATTTAAGCACAGATTATTGAAGACATTATTATTATTACATTTCACGAATGATTAACTTATGAGCTGAAAACAGTCACTCTTCTAACAGTCCTGTCCCGCCTAGTGGAGGGACCTTGAGAAAGGAACATGACGTTGACAATCTGAGTGTAAACACGCAGTGTCAAATCTTTTCCTGCAACTTGGAAGATTAACAGACGCACAGAGGCAGATTCATGTCTGTAGCTGACCGATGGCATGTAAGTCAATCTGTAGGTGAAAACTGACCATTTCTGGACATTAAACTCTTCCTAATTTCGAGGTTCGACAACCCAGTGGACCCTCCTCTCCAGAACCCCTGAATAGACTTTACCAGAGAGGCTCAGGAGTGTGATCCCCCTGTAGGTCGAATATACTCTGTGGTCCCCCTTTTTAAGAATGTGGAACACTACTCTGCCAATCCAGTGGAACTGCGCTCGAAGTCCACGCCATATTGCAGAGCTGTGCCAGCCAACACAACCCTACAACAATGGAGTCACGGTCAACTCAGACTCATGTCCCCTACTTAACCTGGACCGTTTTGGAAGTTCTGTCAGAGGTGGGATTTGAAGCTCCTTCTGACAGTTTAAGTCTGAGTGGCATCCTCCCCCACCATCAAAGCACAGCCAACTCACCAGTGGTCAGCTAACAGCTCCACCCCTATAATAATAATAATAATAATAATAATAATAATAATAATAATAATTATTATTATTATTATTATTATTAGTAGTAGTAGGCCTATTATTATTATTATTATTATAACAACAATAACAACAACAACAACAACAGCAATAATAATAATAATAATAATAATAATAATAATTTCTTTTTTATTTAGTCATCATTCTGTCTGAATTCAGAGTCACTGAATAAAAGGAAAAAATCTATTAGGACCAACGCCTCTCCAATGGCTAATCGTTAATTTTGTTTTGTCTCATTTTATTTTACACACACACACACACACACACACACACACACACACACACACACACACACACAGAGAGAGAGAGAGAGAGAGAGAGAGAGAGAGAGAGAGAGAGAGAGAGAGAGAGAGAGAGAGAGGAGAGACAGAGAGAGAGAGAGAGAGAGAGAGAGAGAGAGAGAGAGAGAGAGAGAGAGAGAGAGAGAGAGAGATCATTTTAGTTTTCAGTCGGGGCCCAGAGCCTGTCCCTATCCCGGGCCTGTCACTCGTTTGCCGCGGGAGGATGACAGGAGTCAGCTGGACCAGAACGTCCACATGGACAGGGGACTGACTAAAACTTTGCCTCTGTGGACATTTGTTTGCGTGGGCCTGAGGTTAGAGGACAGTCCTCAGACAGATCAGATCTGATGATTGAGTCCTTCTGTTTGAGGAGAACCTGGACACCAGGACACTGTCTGAGCCGGTCAGAACCTGCACGCGGAGCCGCTCCACAGATGAAGGAGCGCAGCAAGAACGCAGCGAAGAGCCGCAGAGAGAAGGAGAACGGAGAGTTCAGCGAGCTGGCCAAGCTGCTGCCTCTGCCGGCAGCCATCACCTCTCAGCTGGACAAGGCCTCCATCATCCGCCTCAGCAGCAGCTACCTGCGGATCAGAGCGCTCCTCCCTCACGGTAGGAACCGGACCGCCAGACCTGGACCAGACCCAGCTATATGGAAGGGAAATCATTAGTGAGAATAAAAGCAAGCAGTCACGACTCATTATAAACGTTATTTCGCTAAATCAGCCGAGTTTAAACAAAAACACAGTTTTTAATTGACGACAAATGCGGATTAATGAGATAGAAATGAGCGGGAGTTAATAGATTAGCTAATATAAAATTAATGTTAAGGCTTTCACACTCAATGTGTGGCTTCCGTTCAAATAAACAACAACAACAACAACAACAACAACAACAAAACAACAACAATAATAATAATAATAATAATAATAATAATAATAATAATAATAATAATAATACAATGCTTCCAGCGGGTAATAGTGGCCCACCGGTTCGGTATTCTGAAGGTGGACCGGACCGCTCTCCGTGAAGGAGAACGCAAACCTGCTTAGTCGGACCGGACCGGACCGCTGCTGCAGTCCGAGCCACTGCAGATCAGAGTTACCGGCCCGGTCAAAGCCCAGTCAAAGCCCGGTCAAGGCCCGCGCACAATGGCTCTAAAAATAAACCAATAAACTGTAAAAAAAAAAAAATAAAATAAAAAATAAAATAAAAAAAAGTAAAAATTTTTTTATCAACTACACTGAATTGAGTAGTTCCATTTTATTTTTACTGTGATATTTCTTTTTTCTCATTTGTTGGTTTTATTTTTTTCTCCTACAAGGTTTTCAAATCTGTTGTTGCCATCCACTGGGACTATTGCATCTGAAATACCCCAATAACCTCAGATTATTAGATTAGAGGTATAAATTCCTGGAACTATCCTGTGAAACGTTCAAGATTCAGAGAAAATCACCTTCGTGGGCTAAATGACGTTTTCACAAAATAGATGCCATTCAACAGGGCCTTGGTCTGACGACTTTTATGAAAACATCTTTAGACCAACATCCGCTCAAAGCAAAGGAAATAATCCAAACAGTAACTAAAACCTGAAAGATGCTTTTATAAAGGCGTTATGCCTGCGAGGGCCTTCTTGTGTCGCCATAGGTTTCAGGAATAGGAAATAAACACATTTTCTTTGATTTGTTTCCTTTGTTTAATAATCCGAGTTTTTGTGTTTGTTCTCTTGGTTCCATTTATCCCGCAGGAAGGACTATGAGCCAACAGGGAAAGACTCTTTTATTTATAGGGTCCGTTGGAGTTGTTGTCATGAAAAAAATGTTTAATTTGAAACAAAAACACTCTCACATTTATTTGGATTTTTTACTTACTAGTGAAATTCAATAAAATTTAGATTAAAATGTAATTCAAATTTTGATGAGATTCAGATAAAAGAAATTAGATAAATAGAAGAAATCTAATAATTAATGACTATCTTGATTATACCATTTCAGTGTTTTCTACTCGGTTTTCGTGGTTTTCACATAACCTCACTAGGTTTCCTTATAATTTCAGGTACATGTACTGTTGGGTTTGGCAAATTGAGTGCTGTTTTATATTGCTTTACCAGCTAGAGTTACTTATTGGTTAAAAGGGAAATGTGGAGCTTTAGTTTGGGAAATAAACTGAACATTAGTAACGGAATGAATGACTTATGGCTCATTAAATAACATGTAATCTAATTCATTACAAGTGACAAAAATGTAACCGGTACATTAAATTGTAGATTTTCTAATATCTAAAAATGCTTTTTAATATTCATTTGGACACAAAGAATTTTAAACGATAAATTAAACTATTGATTAAACAGTGTGATAATAAACAAAAATAAACAAATGATTCAAACCAACACACAAACAAACCTCCACTTCAGCATTGTAATAATGACCTCTTCAGAAAATCTGAGGTAATCTCTTACCCCCCCCCCCACCACCACCACATACACACACATTATAGGATCCTGCTGCTGAGCTCAGATGGGTGATCACATCAGTCCTGTTAGATATTCTATTGATCACCACCTCCTTTAGTCGTTTAATCCTATTGCTGATTTAACCCTGGAGTTCCACCTGGGACCTCAGGTCCAGTCTGGACTTGTGTGGTCTGTTCAACACTGGGTCACTGACAGAAACTGCTTGGAGAACTCTTGGTTTGGATTTTGGTGATGTTCGCATATTCTAGAGTTGCTAAGAACCATGCTGCATGGGACAGGGACAGAGTTCAGATGGTGGAGGTCCATGAAGCTGCTTTACACCTATGGACTCTAGGCAGTTTAATGGTCAATCATGCTCTCCTGGTATATTAGGGTTAGGGTTGTACGGTCAAGGTTAGGCTGTTCCTTTAACAGGAAGTCCTTGTTATCCACTGGATTGAAGCTGACAAGCTGGAGACATTTGAAGCATCTTGAAAAGGTTGACTTATTAACATGCTGGGCTCATTTAATCAGATCATTGCCATTACAATTAAAAAGATAAAAGGCAGATGGAGAAAAGATCCAGGTAAATATTAAATAAGATTTTATCAAGAAGAACTTGAAAAACAAAACAATCTGGGGAGCGCTGGCTGGTTGGTTGATTAATAGGTTGGATGGTTGGTTAGTTGGTTGGTTGGCTGGCTGTAAGGTTTGCTGGCTGGCTGGCAGGTTGGCTAATTGTTTGGCTGGTTGGTTGGCTGGTTGGTAGGTTGGTTGGTTGGCTGGCAGGTTTGCTGACTGGCTGGCAGGTGGGCTAATTGGTTGGTTGGTTGGTTGGCAGGTTTGCTGACTGGCTGGCAGGTTGGCTAGTTGGTTGGTTGGTTGGCAGGTTTGCTGACTGGCTGGCAGGTTGGCTAGTTGGTTGGCTGGCTGGTTGGTTCACTGGTAGGTTGGTTAGCTGGTTGATTGGTTGCCTGGCTGGCAGGTTTGCTGACTGACAGGCTGGCTGGCTGGCTGGCTGGCTGGCTGGCTGGTTGGTTGGTTGGTTGACTGGCAGGTAGGTAGCTAGGTAGGTAGGTATGTAGGTTGGTTGGTCGGTTGGTTGGTTGATTGGTTGCCTGGCTGGCAAGTTTGCTGACTGGCTGGCTGGCTGGTTGGTTGGTTGACTGGTAGGTAGGTAGGTAGGTAGGTAGGTTGGTTGGTTGGCTGATTGGTTGCCTGGCTGGCAGGTTTGCTGACTGGCTGGTTGGTTGGTTGACTGGTAGGTAGGTAGGTAGGTAGGTAGGTTGGTTGATTGTCTGGCTGGCAGATTTGCTGACTGGCTGGCTGTTGGTTGGTTGAATGGCTAGCTGGCTGGTTGGTATGTTTATTAGATGACTGATTGCTCGGCTGGTTGATAAAATCCTGGATCTCCTTGTTAACATGACCCTAAAGGGGGCAGCAGGAGTTATGTCTATGGTTTCTAGAATTCATTCTTTCTCTCTTTTATTGTCTTCTTGTTTCTGTAGGTCTGGGTGATGGATGGGACCAGTCAACCACCCTCAGTCCTCTGGACAGCATGGCTAAGGAACTGGGCTCACACCTGTTACAGGTCAGAACATGGTTTCCCCTCCAATACTGACTTGGTATACGTAGATTTTATGTGAGATGGATGACTCTGGACTCTAGAGTTGTGCCAAACTATTTCCTTACTTTCTGCACTCTAGAGAAAAGTATGATAATGGTGAACTGTTTTCTGGATATGACTTCAAAGGATTCTTCTGTTTCCTTAGACTCTAGATGGATTTGTGTTTGTTGTTGCGGCAGATGGTAAAATCATGTACATCTCAGAAACAGCATCAGTCCACCTCGGCTTGTCCCAGGTAAGTCTCTCATTTCAGCTCAGAACAACCAAAAAAAAAAAAACCCTGGTCCATATTAATTAGACTGATAGTCTAAAAGGAAAAGGACAAGTAAACAGCATCTGAGAGCTTGTTTATACCTGGATCAGTGGTTGTTTACCTGTGGGGCTGATTACTGATGTGTGCATGTAGGTGGAGCTGACTGGAAACAGTATATTTGAATATATTCACCCATCAGACCATGATGAGATGACAGCCGTACTGAGCCTTCCTCAGACACATCTTCATCATCTCTCTGCAGGTACACGAACCTCTGACTTTCTGAGTTTTCTTTTATCAATCAATCAATCAATCAATCAATCAATCAATCAATCAATCAATCAATCAAAGCTTAATTTATAAAGCGCCTTCCGCAACCCTGTCAGGAAGCCCAAAGCGCTTTATGCTCAAAGTTTAGTTGACTTTGCTTCTGCTTTGCACTTTTTAGATTTAAGACCAAACTAATCTTTAGGAAGTGAGATGTAGTAAATACCAAAAAATCGGATGTGTTCAAATGCATGAGGAATGCTTGTAGAACATGTGATTATGGGATGTTTGCTCCTGAACAGAATGTGAAGTTGAGCGGTCCTTCTTCCTGAGGATGAAGTGTATCCTTGCTAAACGAAATGCTGGATTGACATGTGGAGGATATAAGGTAAGTGATGTTTCTGTGAATCTAAGTTCAAAATAACCTGGCAATAAAAGACAATTGTGTCTTTTTATTAAACAAAATGACTCAGCCAAGTAAACTCAGATGATTAGATCCAGGAGCTGTCGTCTCTCCTGGGCTTTCTGAGGTGATCGAGATTGGTTTCTCTCTCAGATGGAGACGCTGGCTAAACATGACTAGGGCTATAGATGAGTCGACTCAGGCCCTAATTCACCAGTAGAGAGCAGGTCTGTTGCAAGTGCATTCCCGAGTCTCCCAATCATCACTAAGACTTACAGAACCAAATGGAGACCAGTGCAGCCAAACACCACCACCCACAGCTCGCCACACCCCTACCAGAGTCTTACTACAACCACATCTCCTGTCACAGGAGGCATTACCCCCCCCCCCCCCCCCAATAAGTTCCTCTGCTCGCACGCACGCACACACACACACACACGCACACACACACACAGATATTTAACCTGAAGAGGGCACAACACTGAGTTTAAGGCAGATAATTTATATTTTAGACAAGTTCCGTTGCTGTGAGCCAATCGGAGGCGAGCTTCCCAAAACAAACAAATAAGACTCCAAATCCTGCTGCCTCCTGCTCCACTTCTACCTCCTGCAACAGGAGCATCAGAGCTTTTTAAAGTTAAAGTCTTCATTAGTCATCACACACTGGTGAAATTCATCTCCGCATTTGACCATCCCAGTGGGGAGCGGTGAGCTGCAGCTGTGGCTGCGCTTGGGAACTATGTGGTGGTTCAGCCCTCCAAACCAACTCCTAAAAGCTGAGTGTCAAGCAGAGAGGCGTTGAGTCACATTGTTAAAGTCTTTGGTATGACCCAACTGGGATTAGAACCCCGATCTCCTAGTCCCAGGGCGGACACCCTACCACTAGGCCTCTGAGAAGGCATCCTACAGAGATTGAGAGTTAATATTTTAAACTAGAGATCTCAACACACAAGAGAACTCTTAAAAGTGAAAGGATAGATTACTCCTTGTGGTTGAGGTTACCCGTTGTAGGAAGCACTTTAAATGGAGTCAGTTTGGAGCAGTGGTCACCAACCTGGTGCCCCGGAGTCCCTATAAGGTGGCCTCAGGCCTGTTCTAAAAATAGCACAATTCACCGCTCAGACAACTAAAGGCCATAGAAAACACTGACCCCTTTAAACAACATTGGGCTGTCCTTTCCTCAGGTGATCCATTGCAGCGGCTACCTGAAACGGCACCAGTGCCCCCTGGGACCAGTTCTGTCTGAGTCCAGTCACCAGCGTGTGGGACTGGTGGCAGTGGGACACTCTCTGCCTCCTAGTGGAGTCACGGAGATCAAACTCCACAGCAACATGTTCATGTTTCGGGCCAACCTCGACCTAAAACTCATCTTTCTGGACATGAGGTGAGCAATTAATTCAGCTGACTGATGAGTTGCATAAAAGCCGTAAAATCCCAAGAACTGATTTGAAAGCAACATAAGTATACCTACAGCAGCATGTATGATCTATGTAGACATATTGGGACTCATGATCGCTAACTAATCATGAGTGATCTCACCCTCCTCTGTGTGTTGGAGCCAGAGTGGCCGAGCTAACGGGCTACGAGCCTCAGGACCTGATCGAGAAGACCCTTTACCATCACGTGCACACGTGTGATGTTCTACATCTGCGCTATTCCCACCATTTATGTGAGTCCTTCAGATCTTCATTGGTAAATCTGTCGGGAGGGTTGCTCTGTGGAACCAAATCCAAACCAATTACTTGATTATGGGATATAAAACGCAAGAAGACAATAATGTAGAAAACCATGTGAGAAAAGGGAGAAGAAAAAATAGTGGAGATGATGAAACCTGACACTGAAGCAGCTACTGAGGTAAGGGAACGAAGGTGAGGGTTCAAATCTGTTAACTTTCCCTGGAGACAGATTTTCTCATTAGATCAGCCGTTTGTGTCTTGCACTGACCTGCTCAGACTCACCAAGGGGTGTAACATTTACAAAAGTTTATTAATGTCAGAAAGTTTAGTTTGACTGGTAAAGAACTGGAACAGGCTGTCGGGAAGGTTGGAGATGATCTGGAACTAGAGCAGTGGCTGCAGGGATCTTAAATCCTGGTGAACTCTGACGTTCCAGGTTAACAGCGTTGGGTGATGGGGTGCCGAGCAGAGAGGAGATGAAGACAGATCAGAGACGTAAATCAGGACAGACCCTGTGATCACCCCCGTCCCTCTATATCTGACCTCAATAACCCACCTCTTCTCTCTGGGGCTGCTGCTCCACAAACACCTGACACATTTTCTGTCTCTCTGTAGTACTGGTGAAAGGACAAGTCACCACTAAATATTATCGCATGTTATCAAAGCACGGCGGCTGGGTGTGGGTGCAAAGTTATGCCACCATCGTTCACAACAGCCGCTCATCAAGACCTCACTGTATCGTGAGCGTGAACTACGTCCTCACGTGAGTCGGCACACTTAACCTGTTGGTCTCCAGGCAAAATCAGCTCTCCCGTGGCTTTGGGTGAACGCTGTAATCTTGTCTTTGTTTTCAGCGACACTGAGTGTAAGGAGCTGCAGTTATCTGAAGACCAGACTCAGACAGCCAAGCCTCCTCTCAGTTTGGCTTCTTTCCAAAAACACTACAAACAGCTCAGGACTCGAGCTGCTAAACCAATGCCCAGAGGTAGACTAGCTCTGTGTCCTGAGGTGTGTTTAGTTGTTATGAATGACATAATTGTGAAAATAAAAGAATGAATTCCTGATTTTCTAATTACACTAACTACCTACACTATTACTGTGCTTCTGGTAGCAGGAGACCTCCCGGCTCCTCCAACCGACCTTCTCAAGCTTCTTCCCACAGAAAGGGATGTGGAAACAAAGAGCTACGTCCCCAATGGGACCCTACAAGGAAAAGAGTCCTAACCCCACCCATGCAGCAGGTTGGGTGTCCTGCAGCCCTGCTTACAATCTGACCCTCCAGAATCCCTCCAAGTACCAGCATCTGGACCCACGGAACCAGCTTTCTTACTCAGTTACGTCCTCTCAGCTCATCAAATCCGTGCACACTTCTGGACCTGCTGGCTGGAACAGCTGCAGTCCCACAGCATCCAACATACACACAGGCATGGTTCCTTCTCTAATAACCAAAGGCTCCGCTGAGCTTTCATGGTGACATTTGTTTGCTGTTCTGAGAGTGAAAAATAAAGTAAATTCAGAAAAAATACTTTTCACAACCCTATAAAAAGTAACCTGCCTAACAGAAATTTTCTGTTTTAAACATGCAACAATACAAGTCTTCATCTTCACAAATCCACCTTAAATCCTTACAGACTCATTTCTAAGCTGATATTTCTTCCTTATAAATGTTTGTGGAAAACGTCTGTTATTGTAAAGTTAAAAAAAATCCCAGTCAGGCTTATTTAAGCATCTTGCTGTTATAGTGTGTGGAAGTAAATCTGAATTATTGAAAGGCTATAATGACCAGCTCTGGTCCTAAGATTGTGCTAAATGTGATATTTTTGGTTTTGTCAGACCTCAGCGCAGATTGATTACGCAAAACTTCCTAGGACCAAGACTTGATTCAAGGAATTAAACTTCAGAGGTTAGGGTTAGATGAACTAAAATCATTCATTCAATCAGCCGGTTGGTTGTGGAGTTCCACAAGGGCCCGTCTTTGGCCTATTCACATTTGTTAGAGTACATACCTCTGCATCTGGAGCAATTTCTTCTACAGAAAATGTTTAACCTAATGGATGTGACCTTGCGAGGAAAGTTGATCATTGAGCAGCGTTGATGGTTTATCCCTTGGTTCCACGTGGCAGGGGTGAGGAGAGAGCACCACCTCACCCCTGCCACGTGGACCTCAAGGGATTAACGATCAACTCTGCTCAATGGTCAACTTTCCTTGCGGGGTCACTCATAAAGACAGTGGGAGGGTTAAGTTTGTCAGGGCATTACAGTGAGCAATCCTTAAATGTGTAATATGTGAAAATGAAGAAATAATGAAATCCTGTGGTCAAATTTGCTTATTGAACTCCATTTTCCTAAGCATTAAGTTACCATCTCACTGCAGTTTCATGAGTTACGGATTAGCACCAAAAGACTGTAATGACAAGAGAAGATGAGTCATACACAATAAGTTGATAAGTAAATAAAAACATTGTTTTTTCTGGTAAACAACAGGCAATCCGCGCTACATCCAGTTGAGTTTCGGTTCTTACGGCCAGGATCAAAGGCATGAAACAAAAAGGGAAAGGGCCAGAGCTGTCGGTTCAATCTTATAATTTATTAGGTGCAAGATCTCCTCAAAGCCTTATGGAAGTCTTGCTCTCACCGAACTCCTCCCATGCCCGGGTTTTTGCCTTGGTGACCACCTGAGCCGCATTCCGCTTGGACTGCCGGTACCCGTCAGCTGCCTCTGGAGTCCCACAGGCCAAAAAGACCTGATAGGACTCTTTCTTCAGCTTGACAGCATCCCTGACTGTCGGTGTCCACCAGTGGGTTCGGGGGTTGCCACCACGACAGGCACCAATGATCCTACGACCACAACTCCGGTCAGCCGCCTCAACAGTGAAGGCATGGAACAGGGTCCATTCAGACTCAATGTCCTCCGCCTCCCCCGGAACATTTAGGAAGTTCTGTCGGAGGTGGGAATTGAAGCTCCTTCTGACAGGAGACTGCCAGATGTTCCCAGCAGACCCTCGCAATACGTTTGGGCCTGCCTGGTCTGACCGGCATCCTCCCCCACCATCTGAGCCAACTCACCACCAGGTAGTGGTCAGTTGACAGCTCCGCCCCTCTCTTCACCCGAGTGTCCAAGGCATGCGGCCGCAGGTCAGACGAAACAACAAAGTCGATCATCGAGCTGCGGCCTAAGGCATCCTGGTGCCAAGAGCACGTATGGACACCTTTATGTCTGAACATGGTGTTCATTATGGACAATCCATGACTGTGCACAGAAGTCCAATAACAAAACACCACTCGAATTCAGATCAGGGGCCGTTCCTCCCAACCACACATCTCCAGGTCTCACTGTCGTTGCCCCCATGAGCGTTAAAGTCCCCCTGCAGAACGAGGGAGTCACCGGAAGGAGCGCTTTCCAGCGCCCCCTCCAAGGTCTCCAAACAGGGTGGGTAGTCTGAACTGTAGTTTGGTGCATAAGCACAGACCACAGTCAGAACCCGTCCCCCCACACGTAGCCCGAGGGAGGCTACCCTCTCATTCACTGGGGTAAACCCCAACGCACAGGCACCAAGATGTGGGCAACTAGTATGCCCACCCCTGCTCGGCGCCTCTCAGTGGGAGCAACTCCAGAGTGGTAGAAAGTCCAACCCCTCTCAAGGAAACTGGTTCCAGAGCCAGAGTCATGTGTTGAGGTGAGTCCGACTATATCTAGTCGGAACCTCTCAACATCACACACCAACTCAGGCTCCTTCCCCACCAGAGAGGCGACATTCCATGTGCCAACCCTACCAGAGGCAGAAAACCTCAGACAAATTAGCTCCTAGGATAACTGAGACACTCAAACCCCTCCACCACGGTAAGATGGCAACCAGGGAGAGGTTGAATAGGCTAAAACAAATTCTATTAAAATACATAATATATTTAAATAAATCATTAGACTTTATATTTTGGCAGAATTTTATTGCCTTACTGAGGGGCCAAGTCATCAGGTCATTAGATGCTAAGCTAAAATTGTCTTTAATGGCCATGGATGTTCTTCATGCTGGGGTCTAAAGAATGGTATTTTCTGTTTCAGCACCATGGTCACCATCATCACCACTGAGAAAAAAACGGTAACAGCTAAACCACACACCTCTCAGACCAATGTTGCATTACCGACATAGCTGGTCTGTGTATTTTTCAGAGTTGACCCTGCATCAATGCATGATGGGAGTAAACAGCAGCATGACAACTTTAGTTTTGGTTAATCTACTCCCTGTGTTTTAATAAAATGATGCATCTGAAACTGGCATCTCAGTTGTTATCAAATTATTTGTCTCCAGGGCTTGAGCTGCAACTGACCGCAGGTCTTCAGCAGGAGAACCATCTTTCTACCAAAGGTGCCCCTGGAGAATTGTGTAATCAGTACAGACTCAGACCGACTGGGTATCATAGAACCAGGACTTCAAGCAGGATGGATCGTTCTGCACTCATGGTGACAGGATATCGTTCTGTAGGTCTACAGACTACAGAACAATTCTGTTTGCTTTGCCTGTTTGTTGTTTGAACATCATGTTGGCATCTACTGCCCTTCAAATGACTGAGGGGGACATGGACCTCTCTAAGACAGCAACTACCAGTCTGTTTAACCTAAGCAATGCTCCAGATCATTTTTGCTCCATAGAAATAAAGTCGGTGTGATTTTTCTCTTTTGAAGGTGCATCAGGATGTTTGCTGCTGATGGATCCTGTTTTATTGGGATGGGAAGTAGTAGACTTGGTCAGGATAAACAAGAAGTCGAGCCAATCTGGAGATCCAAATCTGAATGCTTTATTTATTTTTGTTCCTACTCAGCTATAAGACAGGCGAGTCAACTCCAGATACACTCCTGTTCTCAGAGTACCCCCCCCCCACGTGAGAATAAAGCTAGATTCCTACACAACTTGTTTTACTCTATATTCTTTAATTTGCAGAAAGTTTGTAGATTCTGTGTTTGTTTGATCTCACCATAGAGGGATGTCTGCAGAAGTCAGCATGGTAATAAAATGCTTCAGCTGCATATCAAGTTTTGTCTTTATTTCTTAAAGATGTGGTTCACTAGAAGTGAGCCAGAGCTGAGCTGAGCTTCAGACGGCAGGATCTGGAGTCTTACTTCCTGGTACGAACACCTCTGATTGGTGTACAGCAACATAACTCGACCACTGACTCGGTTTGCTCTGCACAAACAAGTCTGGAGGAGCTCTGAGTTGCATGCATCAGCATGGGGCCAACAGAATCTACTCTATTGTAGAAGGGACAATGACACCAGATTGTCTCAGGTGACAAGCTTCTGGAAAATAGCTACTGCGTTAATATTGATACTTACTATTGTTTTAGAGCTATATTTACATTTTTTAGACCCTTTTTAGTTTTACACTTGAATAACCAGAATTACGAGATCAGATGTGCGTTGGGTCAAAGACATCAATGATGCAATTTTCCAGAAGTCTTTATTTTACTTTAAGTCAGAGCAGCAATGGAGACTTTTCAGAGAACAGAGCAGAAAGAACCACATCAGGGCAAGCCATGTCTGTTGGAACAGGGAGGAAGAGAACAGCTGCATTTGGTGCCTTAGAAGCACCATGTAGGAAACCATCTGACCAATGATGCTGTTCATCAGCACCATGTCACCTAGACCCAGGGAAACTCCACCAGACCAGACTGGTTGAACTGGTTTCTCTGGAGACAGAATGAAACCAAAACAACGTTCCAGAAAAGCAGCTTAGTGTGGATCTAAAGGTCCCATCCAACCAGGCTGGATCATTAAACATGTTTTACAGACTTTTTTGGGACAATAGTTGATGCTAAAGTCTAAATAGAGATATGAAAATATAGACCTAAAGTTTAATGTCCATTACATCCAAACTGGATACGATTTTAGAACAAAAGCCTCTGTTTGAAGGAGAAATACAAATACTTATTAATGACCTGTTTACTTTTAAATTAGAGGTATTGTTTCACTTCATCATAGAATCAATGCAGCAATGGCAGCAGCTGATTTTTCTACACATCCAGGACTTTCCATGAACCCACATTCACCTTTAGTCAAACGTTCCCTCATCAGACTGAGCTGTTTTGTTCCTGGAGTTGGAAGGACAGCTGCCTTTCCTGGATGACTGAATAAACGACAGATACGCCCAGAATACACCTAAACCCAGGCTAAACAGGTGAAGACAGGAAGAAAGTGCTCCACGTATCCATAACACAACGTTTTGGTCAGCTGTTCAAGTGCTTCTGGTCACTTCAAAGAAGAGTTTCACTAATAAAATATGCTGTCCAACTTGGTTGTAAATACTTGCATCAAGGCTGAGAAAATGCATTTTATAAGTGTACAAGGATGGGACCTAAAACAATAAAATCATGTCAGCATCCAAATGGAACCAGACCAGACATTAGATAACAATACAAAGTCTTCTCTTACACTAAAAAAGTTTATTGCTTCATTGATCAGAAAGACACTTGGACTGTAGTGGACCCGTTCCTGGTCTTACTGCTGCTTGATGACCACCAGGTTCTTTAACATGTCAAACGAGTTTCCATCAGGCTCCACAGACACCGTGCCATGCTCTTCACTGAACACTTGCAGGAAGCCGTTGGTGTCTAGACCCACCACCTGAGCTTCTGGTCCATCCTCGCTCCAGAGACGCACCTTGGTCCCACTGAGGTCAGAACATAGGCAGAGATCAGCACCATCAGGGAGCTCCGAGAACATTGTGATGCCTCAAAGCATAGCATCAATATAATCTGCTTCTACGAGAGGACGTCAACCGACTCAGACGTCTTCAGGATCACAGATCTGAATCAGACTGTTATCAACAGAATGATGTTTAATTAGGTGGATTAAAAATCTGTATTTGTAGTATTTCATAAAAGCTTTTAACTAGTGACGGGTTTTAAAGACAACCGGAGGTTTCTTCCTGTTAAAAGGGAGTTTTCCTCTCCACTGTCGCTAAATGCTTGCTTAGTATGAGGATTGCTGTAAAGTCTCTGACACTAGTCAGTGACTTGATGCAACCTGCTGGCTTCCTTATATAGGAAACTTTTTACTGATTGGCTTAATGAACTGACCTGTATTGGAATGTTTACTATGTGAAGTGCCTTGAGATGACTCTCGTCGTGATTTGGCGCTATATAAATACATTTGACTCGAATTGAAAAAATTGAATTTTCAAGACACTCATGTACACGTGCAAAAAGGAATAGAATGCTGGTAGGCTCAGTGGGAGCAAGTGGGTGGGTCTAGATTTTAATTCATGTAAAATGCATGTAAGCCTTCAAAAACTATGTGGGACACTAGGCGTAATCAGCACCTTTACCTGTGGAGCCATCTCTTATAGTAGGTGGGCAGGACGCCCTCTGGTCCTTCTTGTTGAAAGGTACTGATGAGAGCCTCCAGGCAGTTGAGGGTCCGAGCGATGAGCTGTGAGCAGCTAAGTGGCTCCAGGCTGCAGCTGTTCTGCCTGTTGTGCTGCTGGATCAGGTCGTTGATGCACGCCGTTGGCTCGCTGTTGGTCACGTTAAAGCCACAACCTACAGAACAGGTACGAACACCTAGGTGATCTTCCTCCATACGGTCCAGTCATACACTACTCCACTGTACACGTACATTCACATACATTTCATACGTTTGTGATTAGATGCACAGTTTTAGGTTTAGTCAGACATTATGACCCGATCACACCTGGCACCAATATGTTTAACTAGAAGTTATGAAGGCAGAGTTTTACCTATGAGCAGGTGAAAGGTCTCTCCAATAACAGTGGATTTGACCAGGACCCCTCCAAGCTTCATCAGGTTACTATAGTAGATGTCATTGGGCCACTTCACCCTCAGGTCTAGGTCCTAATGAACATTAAACCAGTCAGTCAGAGATCTAGAGCAGGAGGACAACCAACCAACCAACCATGTTTGAATTTTAGAGTTTAATGTTTCCAGACCATTTACCAGGTGGGTTGGGGTTAGGGTACCAGGCTCTCCAAGGTTTAAAATCTAAACTCGAATGTAGAAAAACTCACAAAGGGTGGCTTATAACGGGTTACGCAAGATATCAGCAGGACATGAGTGTGGAGCCATATACGAAATCCCGTGCAAACCCTGCAATAAAACATGCGGAAGAAACCGGACGCCAACTCAACACACGAACAACAGAACATCAAAGGGAGTGCGAGAGGGAAACAAGTGGAAGACAACCAAAAGCAGCAAAACAGACTGGGACAGAACAAGGATCATTAACACCAAACAGTAAAACACAAAATATGGATTAAGGAGGCCAGAACAAGGAGACGTGGACACGGAACCATGAACAGACAAAGGAGTCTACACTCCAGATCACGCATGGGACTGTGTCATCGACGAGGAGGGCGCGGGCAGCAGAGGGCGACACCACAGATAAACGAAAAAGGAGGTGACACCGGCTGTGATGCAGGCTACAAGAAGTAGCTGAAACGTTAGCTAATAAGGTAAAGGAAAACTTTTCTTCTCTGTGTTTAAAAAGAACCAAGAAATAAGTGAAAAAGAGACAGAATGAATGTACAGAAGATGTGGTATCGAGGCTCTGTTGTATTTGTGAGTGTCCCTTTCTCTCTCTCGCTCTTTCTGCAGGTCTAGAAGCAGATTCTTGTACATCCTTTATTCTTTATTTCTGTGAACTCTCCCCCCTTACCACCTCCTTTCCTCTACCCCCTTCCTTTCTCAATTCTGTCTCCGTGTCCATTGGGATATAAAACAACCAAAAGCATTTGTAGTAAAGTTCTGATTTCACCCACTCCAGCTGTAAGAATAAAACTGGAAGGCTTGTTTCTGACACTCAGACATCAATTCGGATGGTTTTAATGCCATTCAGGACACCGGGGGGAAAACTAAACTAAACTAAACTAAAACATGCTTAACACCAGCCCTCCAAGACCAGGACTGAGAACTATTGTCCTAGAACATGTTGGATAGAGACCCTGGAGGACCAGGTCCAGACACCACCGCTTAAGATTAACACCCAGTTCACATCAGACATGGAAGTGCAACGATGCGCTGTGGAACGAAGAGCATTTCTATCTGGTGCCCTGGTTAGCCTACGGTCTCGGTCACATCAGCTACGAAGTGCCGCTACTGCTCGCGTTCGTTTCGGCGAGAGCTCTAATTCTTTCACGAGCCATGAGTGAGCCGCGTCAATTCTGGCAGGAAGTCAAACCCAAACGGATGAGGCAGGCCAACAAATTTAACCAAACAAAGAATTTTTTCTAAATAAAACACCGCGACTGATAAATGAGATAATTTTTGTATATCTCAAAAGACTAGGAAGATGAAAGGAACAAAGACACACACACACACACACACACACACACACACACACACACACACACACACACACACACACACACACACACACACACAGTGGTGGGAAACAGTAGGCGTGAGCAGAAGCGCTCATCTAAAATGTGAACAGAGGAGCAGCGGGCAGAGTGAATTTCGTGAGCGATCCGCTTCGCGGCTGTAGTGATCTCGGCGTAATGCGACAAAAATTAGAGTTCAGACAGCCACAGGCTTGCTGATGGATGCAACTTGCTGTAGGACTCTAAAACAAATATATTTGAGCAAGAACGTAGAATCGTGACCAAAGGTAAATTCAAACCTACTGTAATGATCACTGAAGCTTTATATTGTATAATCTGGTAAAAGAACCCCTCAGGTATATCAGAAAGAAGGCTGTAGGTGATACCTGGTATCCAGGAAGGGTGCAAACAGCTTCCACAACGGCTAAAGCTGCCAGATGCTGTAAGAAAGGAATCCTCCTTCCAAGCCTGGAGCGTAGCTCTACCTGGACCCTAACGGTGAACATGGCACATCCCACCGGGCTGAGCCAGGCGTTTCTGCCCCGACCTGAACCAACAGGAACACAATTAGTGTGTGTGTGTGTGTGTGTGTGTGTGTCTGCTCTGTCTTGTCAAACCCCCAGCTAGTCCTGAGAGTTTTCCTCTCCACTGTCGCTACATGCTTGCTTGGTATGGGGAAACTTTATCTGGCATAACGAACTGAACTCAGTTGGAGTGTTACCTTTGTGAAGTGCCTCGAGACGACTCTTGGCGTTATAGAAATAAACTGAATCAGTGTGAATGTTGTCTTAGAAAAGCCCAGAGATTGTTGAAGTGCTAACCTTTTCCCTGAGTTTGCTGAGTAGCTACTGCGATGACACCCACATCCTTGGGTAGGTGCAGCGTGAGCCTGCAGGAGAAATGGACAAAAACATTTTTATTCAGTGGTTTTCCTGCGTCTGACTTTTCTTTTACACAAGACTCTATACAGTGATCCCTCGTTTATCGCAGTAGATGCGTTCCAGACCTGGCCGCGATAGGTGAAAATCCGTGAAGTAGGGACACCATATTTACAGTACAGCACATTTTCTTTTTGTGGGTAAAACTCAAGAAAAAATTTTTTTACTTGGTTTTTTATAGTTTTATTACAAAAAGTGCATTTTATGATGAAATTGATGAAAAAAACAGGAATTTCTTGATATTTTGCATAGAAAAATACCGCGAATCGGTGAAAAATACCGCAAATCTGCGAATTTCCCTTGAATAAGGCTCCAAAGAAAAAATCCACGAAGTCGTGAATCCGCGATAAACGAACCGCGAAGTAGCGAGGGATCACTGTAGTATATACATTTACACGTGGACCAGACAGCATCACTACTCTCAATAACAATCACAGGCTTTTATTGGTCAGTGGCTTTAAGTCACGTTTCACACTTTTGCATCATGTGTGCCGTTACTGTGGTCATGCATCTAAATGCATAAATAACAGGATACCAAGTAAAGCAGCCAGATGTATCTGGTCACAGGGAGAAGACCATCACAGGTTTTTACTCTGTAGCATCTCTGTGGTTGGTGCTTTAATAACACAAGTTACTCACCTGACTAGATTCAACAAAAATAACATGAATGTTCTACAAATGTGTGTTTACATATCCATACATACAGCAGGGAGGTTAACTATTTCAGCAAGGGTGTTTCTAAGTGAGCTATTGACACAAAATATCTACCACACATCAAAATCAGCTCAAGTATTTATTCCATGCAAAGACATCCCAACATTTAAGTCCATAAACTGAGTTATGTGTAATAAAGTGAAAAGACACAAGGAGAAAGTATTAAACACATGAAGATACCAAAGTGCAAAACGGCCCAGATAGAAAGCCAGGAGATCGCCTGAAATCTGTCGGTATTGAGAGAGAAACCCGCCCCCTATAAGAGCCAAGAACCACTCGGGCAGAACTTCAGGAAGACCTTGCATCAGCAGCTTCTGTAGTTTCAAAGAAAACTTTAAGCAGTTCACTGAACCAGTATGGCCTCCGTGCACACTCACCACGCAGACTCCATAGCTGAACAAAAAGTGTGTTGAGGTTCAGTTAAAGTTTGTGAAAGGAAGCACGGTCAGATGAAACCAAAGTGTAACTTTTTGGCTGTCATCCTACACACCATGTTTGGAGAAGAAATGGTACTTCCCAACCAACTGAGTTTACCACAGACGAACTCCAGTTAAAGAGACAATGTGTACTTTTTACTGTTAGTCTCCGGAAATATCCATCGAAATGTTGTTGTAAATGAATTAAATGATGCCCAGTTGTTGAAAAATATAGTCAGTTTCATAACATATAACCATAAAAATCTGTTCTAAAATTCATGGAGCGGGTCCAAGTCTCTGAGCGACGCCATATTGTGTGCCATGTTTCCTTCTACAGAAGTACTAACCTAAATGATTGCAAGCATGCATTACTTTTGTGTTCAAGTAAAAACCAACGGATGGCCATTAGGGTCAAACTTTCCTAACATATACTCTTGCTGATTCAAATGCATCATTCCTTTAAATTAACATTTTCACTTCCTGGAAAAAGATGAGGCTCAGCTTCTAAGCTTATTTCTGCCAGCGATGCTGATCTGAGGAACAGGATTAACTGGGCCTAACTGGGTTTGCATTGATCACTCATCACCTTTCCAGGCATAATCAATAAGACTCATCTGTAAATCATATTAATTGGAGTAAATCTGTTTACTGGGAAACAGCTAAAATGATCATTTCTGAAAGTAGATGATGGGTGGCAGCTGTAGGACCAGTAAGGACAACCGCTACCTGCTGTTTCATCACACACAAATATAATAAAGCTGATTTTTAATGTCCCTCTTCTTATAAAGTCCACTGAGGTAAGACATACGTCTACAGCATCAGCACATCAAAACTCAACACACACCTTCTTTAGTAAAAGGATTTTGGATGTGTGTGTGATCCCACTGCACACCACACTCTTCTTGTTTAAATCATCACTAATAACAGAATCAGCGTTACCCAGATGTCCATCTGCCTTGTCCTGGAGGACAGGACAGGACAGCCATCAGCTCCAGCTCTGTCTCACTCCAAATATCCTCTCTCTCTCCCGCTTTCTGGTTAAAACTGAATAAAGTAATCAGTCAGGTCTCATTCGCATGACAGTGACATCACTTCCTGTTGTAATATGGTGCTATGTAAATAGCAGACAAGTAGAGTCCTATCACCACTTCCATCATGCTTTCTATGAGGTCTTCAGGTTCCTGGGTTCACACACATATGATCATGTTCTTCTGCAGGTGAGACTACCTTTACCTATACTGTGCTAGCTTTAGCAGCTAGTTAGCTCTGCAGCTGGTTTAAACAGAGCTGTGGAGCTTAGAATCACTGGACAGCTCGGCACCACATGCTAACTTGAATATGAAATTTGAACATCTGCTAACAATTTGTTAAAAATGCAAGTGGCACATAGGAGGTCAAGTGGAGCTGCGCGTTTTTTTAAAGGTCAAACTAGTTGCCATGGTAACAAAAATCAGTTTCTAAATGTTAAACCTGTCTGATAACGGTTTTAACAACAGAAGACAAGATCTAACTCTAGTCTAGTTTTGACAGCTGAAGGTTTTCAGAGGATGTCTCACTCCTCCTCAGAGATCATGATCAATCCATCAGGATGCCTCATCTATGCAGTCAGCGACGATGTTTAACAGACTAGAATAAAACTTGAGTTTAGATGCCAGGTAGACACACATCTACACACAACGTGAGGCCGTAAGTTCACGTCTAGAGGAGGATTTGTTGATTTTTCTGTCTGAGACTTTGAACCTGAAAAGTGAACAGGCTGGACTTTTGCTTCAGGCACAGAGATCATGTTCAGCAGAGCAGGAAAACAATCATTATGTTCTGAGGACATGCCAAGTGCTCCCTGGGGTCTCCAGCTCCAACTTCACCCTGGAATTAGCATGTCCACAGATCCTTAACTAAACGCACGCACGTGCACACGCACCCACAGTTGTCAGTTTGCTTGTTGCTGTGGCCATTATACTCTGGTGAACAGTAGAAAAACGATGTTTAAATGTTGACAGGGACACACCATCATTGTCTTGATGTCCTCAGGTGTCCCTTTCAGTCTCATCGGTCCTAAAAACACCCCCGTCATAAACGGAGAAGACGGCTAAAGCCGTCGGGCTCCCTTTATCTGTTAGAGGTTCTCTAATAAGAACACATCCATGTTTTTTATATTGTTATTTATGCGTTTCTTTCTTTATATATTTATGTAATTTCCTTAGTTTACCTGACAAAAACATCACACGTTCAGGAGGTACACTGATAATAAATGTAAAAGTATTATGCACATATTTAAAATGTCCTCCACTTTTTTATGCCTGCTTGGTTTTATTCCTCAGGATAAGCTGAGACAGTCAGGTCCTTTGATGCACAACACTTATAGAGCTGCGCGGCTCTAGCACACATCGAAATCCTACACTGGTAAACACAAACGCTCATCCAGTGTGATGAATACTGCTGGCTGTGGCCTTCTTGCTGTTCATGTTTCTCTTATAGGCAATGTTGTTATTAAGTCAACAGTTTGCCCTAGGAGCTGGTCCTGACAGGTATAGAAAATAACTTCTAGACAGGCCTGAAAAGTTTCAGGAAGTCATTAATACACTTTTGTATGAACAACTAATTAATTTTGTAGTCAGCCTAATTCAAGATGGCTACTCCAGCTAAAGGAATATTTGACAGGTGGAATAATCCTCATCAGGTAGTACTAGACCAAGGACCTCATACAATATAGAATGGACCTATGGTAGAGATTTAATGTCTTACATTAAAGTATTGGTTTGATTTTAAACTGGTGCTGTTGAATATTTGACTAACGTGCAAAAACATTTTTTAAACTTGGTACAGTCAAAAAAAAAAAACTTAAAATGCTTCAGGTTCCTCATCATTGGAAAAACTCAGGGTTTTTGCCAAAAGGAAGGAAGAAAAAACAGCAAAGTGGGAAGTTTTAGACTGGATTGCTTAATTCCAGCAGCTTTTCCCATCAGCGACTTACAGAAAACCATAACAACAAGGAACTATAGGTGCACTGGTTTTAGCAGAGCTAATGCTAGATATAACAGGTGGGTACCCATCAAACTGCTCCAGTAAGTATGACAAACAAGTTTATCATTTAAAGATACTGGCCAGAGGCAAAATGCCTTTGAATGGCATGTGTAAAGAAGTATTAAAACCTCAGATGAAAAAGGTTTTTGGGTTTTCATGACTGGAAATTTAGGAAAATCTGATGTTTGTGACTGGCGCGAACAAACAGAATCTAACTTCCGGTCTAAAACCTGGGCAGCTGTGGCTACATCGTAGCTCATCACCATCAGTGTGTGAATGTGTGTGTAAATGGATGAATGATACACTGTAGTGTAAAGCACTTTGTAGTCCTTACTCTGAGAGGCGCTATACAAGTGCGGGTCAATTATCATTTAATCCAGGACGGCACGGAGGTTCTAACGGTTACAGGATGATCTACTGTTGAAATATGGGAATCATCTTTTATTTGTGTGTGTGAGTGTGTGTGTGTGTGTGTGTGTGTGTGTGTGTCATAGCTTTCCCAAATGACTTGTTTTTTCCTTACCGAAGCTAACATGGTTAGCAGTGTTGCTGCAGTCATGCTAACGGGACTCTGGAGTCCAGAAGTACCGGTGCAGGTCCAGATGGATTTATAGATGTAGGTTATTATTTTAGATCAGATTTATGTTATTTAAAAATGCATGTAGGACACGGACCTATGACTCAGACCTTTTGCTTCGTCTTCGTCTTCGTCTTCCTCCGCTTATCCGGGTCCGGGTCGCGGGGGTAGCATCCCAATTAGGGAGCTCCAGGCCGTCCTCTCCCCGGCCTTGTCCACC